ATTTAATAGAGAAAGATGAATCTTTAAAAATTTTTTGGTTTTAAAAATATCTATTCACAATAATGCGGACTCAAATATACAATTGAGATAATCTATAAAAACCTGAGAAAAATACAAGAAAAGTACAAGAAAAATACAGATTGAAAATATTTTTTAACATTCAGATATTAGATAACACAATTCAGATGGATTTTGATAATTTTTGATTGGATTATTCTCTGCTCTACTTCTATAAAAAGGCAAAGTAATGTGAATAAAGATATTCTGAAAATGTGTACAATCATGAAAGCAGATGAATATTTTAGGAGATTTCTCAATTCTACATCTTTGTGGAATTGGTAATTACTCTGTCATCTTTATTCATATACGTTTGAGTGTTTTCTGAATATTCATTTAAGATAAACATATGTCTTAAATTCAAATATTGTATTATTCATGCCCCGTAATTCTTAAAAAAAGGAATAACATGATTTTATTAACTTGTTGAAATATTATTTACCTTAAATATGTTATGTTTAAAAAATAGGATTAGTATTAAATTGTGTAAATTCCAAACTAAAGTTAATTTTCAATAAAGTCATCACATAATTCAATCTATTGAGATGAACTATTTGAAAATAAAAAGAATTTTTCATATTATCTCAATTTCTTGTAAATAAATATTTTTGACATCATTTTTAAATGAATACTAAAAATTTTGGAATATCTGTGACAATCAATATACTTTTATATCTTTGAATGTATATGTAAAACATCAATTTATAATCAAGATTTATACATTTGAAGAAAAACTTGAATGAAAAAAATTACTTTTTTACTTCTTTTTCATAAATAATAGTTTAATAAACTTCATAGCATTTAAAACATGTTTTAAATATTGAATTTTAAATTTTAAATTCAGGTGATAACATCAAAAAATTAATACAGTCGATTTCTTTTAATTACTTATACATATCATATGTTCCTTTTCTACATACTTATCATGTACTTGAATCGTCAAATGATACTTGACATAAATTTCAAATTTTTCTTTACTTATCTCTATTTAGTTGATCAAATGCACTGATTTATCTCATATTCAATTCCAAAGGAAATGAAAAGTGTCATTTTGACTTCTAATTACAATACTTGATCATCATATAGATATCATGAATTGCAGTAAGAATGAAAGTTACAAACCCAAATAGATCAAGTATACACAAATAAAAAATTTCTCTAACATTTATAATCCTTGACTAAATTGCTAATAATGGATATTTAGTGACTTGATTTCGAATTTAGAGAATAACAGATTGAAACCATACATATTGAAAGTCTCTATAAATTGCAATGTCATATCCAAAGTGCTCGAAATACATATATAAAAAAATCAAATAGAAAAATTCCAAGTCTTACATTGAGCTGCAAAAAATTATTGGATTTTGATAGGGTATAATGTCTTAGATACTTCTCCATCCTTTGCATCCTTACCACTGTATTCAGGTGAAAAGTTTATGAGACACTTATGATTGTCTTGACGCTACAAAGTTACCCTAACATAGAGTTATTATTAGCCTTGCAATGAGCTCTATAACATTCCAAACTAAAGCATCACTATTATATCAAGGCTCTGAAGATAACTCGTGTCATATCTTCTCATAATATAGGTTTCAAGACACAGCAATGATAAGAGTAACAAATTGCAATGAGCTTCTCAATAATTATAGATTAATGAATGCATCGCAAGTTCTATCATGGGAACAGGTGAACCAAAACCTGGCAAACCAAGCAATAAAATAAAATAGCCACTTTCATGAAGTCGTCCATCGAATGACAGGACAGAGAAGAAGGCTCTTCTTGCAAAGTTATCAGCTGATCGATCTGCAGACTGATCTGATCGATCTGCAAGCTGCGTCCAGCGTTTAGATTCAGTGCCTCCATCGGCAGGCCACAGTTATTGCAACGAGCTGAAAGACGACTTGTGGGCTGAAAGGTGGATCCTAGAAGGAGGTGAGGAGGGGATGCCCCCAGTCTGTACACATAATTGTCGGGTGGTGGCAAACATGCTGGAATGTGCTGTGCATCGGGATTGTGGTTGCCAGTTGGCTCATGACGAGATTTTCTGCAGGCACCTGTTTTCGACTCCTGACATGCTTGAGCACCCATTATCGTAAGAGTTCGGAGTTTTCTGCGCTACTTCCTACCTAGATGGAGAGGCATTTGAGATTTTTGCAGGGTTGAAGGTAGAATTCGACCGAGTCTGTGTGCTCCGGTTATTCTCTGTCGCTTAACCCTCTAAGGATGACTGGAGGGAGGGCTTCGTAAGGCTGAGAAATCAGCTTCTAGTTACATTATTTCCAGATTGTTTTGCCCACGGAATGTTGTCTCAATCTCGCCGAATTTCCTTCGTTGGAGAAGCTTGTGCCACCGTATTCTTCAAAATTGTGTAGCTCTCTGATCCCGTTTCAATCATAATCCTCTCTGCAGTTCCATGCGCGTCGCCAATCTTCGCCCTTCATTCTATGTTATCTCCTGTTTACATGTGATTGCGTCGTACAACAGTACGAGACAATGAATCCCACGACTCCAGGAGTCCAGTTTCAAGTTGCGAATCTAAGCTCGATCCCTGGATCCATCCATCCTCTCACTAGGCTCGGAGCCGAGGACATTCTGTAGTCTTAAAAGGTGCAGGCCAAAAGCTTTGGCGTCGCAAGGCAAAGGTGGCCGAAATTGGACAGGGTGCTCATAATATCCATCTCGGTTCATACATTTGCTAACGCATACTAACACGATGTTTCATAACTTTCGTTACTACATTCTAACTTCGAATCACAATCACTGTATACTTTGCTCTAGAGTCTGATTGTAATCTAATTCTGGGATGATGTGTCTCGAGTCAAAAAGTAAAGGCAATGTCAAGAAAATATAGCAAACCGATGAGAAGACACCACCCCATCAAGTGGGACATGGATGAAAGCAACGCGTAAGGACTGCGCTGGGTAACAGCTTACATCAGCTTCGCCATTGGCAATCCTAATCTAACTAGTTTGCCCTGCCATCAATCAAGTCTCGATTTGGTTTATCGAACTCAACTTCGTGTCTCTGCAGTACAGTATGTGGGACAATGTCGTTCCTATAAACAAGGTCGATGTAGAACTACCGCGTTTCTTGATACAGGTTCATTTCGACAAACAAATCTTAATTCCTTTCGAGCGAAAATTGTCTCTACATTTTAGCCAACTTTAAATGATGTCTGCAACAAGAAATAGCTATGTTTTTGTCCTGTAACATATTATTTAAAACTTGATGGATCGAGAGATTCGTCTTGAGAAAGAATACCACTTGCACAAATAGGCTTGTCGTAAAAAAAATACGATGATTTCTCGGTTTTTTTACCAAATAAATTTTATTATTCTAGATTTACTGGAGTCTGATTGACTTGAGACATAATCCTTATGAATTATGCATCAAGTACCTATTACTAGGTTTTTATTACAGAACTAATTTTGCCCCAGATTTTTTACTGTTTGATGGATACGCGGTACTATCCATAAATATTATTTTTTGTTGAATATCTGATGATATTGTATAAGCTAAAGAGTACTACTTAATTTTACAATAAACCAAATGTTTGAAATTCTCGAAAGTACTTTATGAAGATATTCCTGATTAATAATAATTCAACAACTTCGATGGATATCTTTGAAAATAGATTTAACTAGTTGATCATATTTATGAATCAAATAAAAACATATGTTTGAAAGAAATTTTAAGGAAAATTCTGAATGATCATGATTTCAATAATGCGATAACCACGATTACAACATTTCTAAAGGTGAGCTCAGTAAGGCTTTGTTTCATTTTGTAATGTAAAAGTCTCAGATCAGAAATTTGAAATTTCTTTGAATTTGTTTACAAATTTTTAGACTCCCGCTTTCTCTTGTTATGAGTGCACAAATAATAATATGGATTTTAATTTTTATTCTAGGATAATTTTTTCATTCCAATGGTCATGGATTTGAAAAGAGTGAATTAAGTATAATGAATAAGTGTTTGAACTGTATTTTATTCGAAATTCGCCCGAAGGTGCACATTATTTGACCTATGAAATTTTCTAACAGTTCTCCGACTCTATAATGCATCAATCAAAACAGACTTTGTTTTCGTCGAAGACTTGAAAGTTCTTCCACTCATATTGTGAATATAATTCTGTTAATAATCTGCAGATGGCATTGAGTGCACCGAAGTCAACCTGAACGATTTCTTGTCTCATTTCAGCAGATTACTCTTCCATTTGGGAATGGGATCATTATTTATTATTGCAATATATTGCATGTGATACAGGAAGACTTAATGTGAATAGATAAAGGGCACAAGATAGAACAAAAATGTAGTTGGTTATAACTTTAGTTTTATGTTCACACTTCCGAACAATTTTGTCCATGCAAAGAAATTTGTCCTTATACAGATCGAATAATATGGTAGTTTTTGTATGCGGAATAAATCAAGTTTGTATATCCATTTAAAGAATTGGTTATAAGCAGATGATTCGATGATTATAAGATGATCATGTGATTGGAAATTGACTTTTATTACAAAGTATCGTTTTACATTCGACATATCGTACAAGAGATAGTTGGACTCGTTACCAAGTATTCACGATTGCTCTCAGCAGCCATGGCTCCTCAAGCTACTCCAAAGCTGGAGATCGTAAGCTCATGTGCAAATCGGTCCAGAGAAGACGTTTCTTTGACTAATTATTTTGACTAACTTTTTTTCGACCTGCCGTCCAGGACCTTGTGGAATATATGAGTTCACCCTGTACCCACCATCTGTGTCATCCGTTAGTACAACTCACCCGTTCTCATATGTCTGGGGGCGCTCTTCTCTGTAGTTGAAGTCCAAGTGTTTTAGATCATCATGTACTTAATAAACCATCATTGAATCTAGTTCATGGATGGGACTATGTCGTGAATAGAGGTGTGAATTGGACTTTACAGAAAGTCAACAATCTCCCATAAGCAGAATCTGAATGACAGTAAAGTATACTCGGACCTAGAAGACCTCCTGACTAAATCGGCTTCTTTTTTTCTGGTCCTCGGATGTACACATTTTTAAGTGAAGTGGCGCAACGACTGATAACTTACTCCGGAGCGACGTAGCCATGGCTTTCGAGGACACGAGTGGACACATATCGTCCAATCTTGTCCGAACCCAGCTTGGCCAGAACGAAGTCCGACACCTTCGCATTCAAGTTCTCGTCCAGCAAGATGTTGCTGCTTTTGAAGTCCCGATGACAATGGGGCCGGCTAACCAATTTTTGCAGGTACTCGAGACCACGAGCCTCGTGCCCCAGTCAAGTAACGGAGGAATTCCAGATGAACCTGTAGACACCGGAAGCATGAATTGCAAGCATCAGATGCTTAACTTTCCTCTAGCACTGTCCATCTCCTGGACATCGGCCGTCGGTTGTAAGTAAACCAGTCGACAACACGAATCACGCCTGCGTTTCTATCTCCCCTGTAAGGTTGAGGTTCCCATCAGTCCAACGCTGATGATATATAGCAAGAGATACTTTTCGATTGATATTTCCGCTTGGACATATCTGTATTGTCCATTTATTGCTCCGGGCGAGCTTTCTATTCACCTGATCGAGGGTATATACCTTAAGTTGATGCAATTCAATAAATGGAAGCTTTCAATTGCTGAGTGGGAACTTTTACTGCACATACATCACATTCTGTGCTGATGTTCGGACATTCAAGAGCTGACTCTGTTAGCTCATGTTTCGCAGGACCAAAGTGATCTCTACAACTAGGAACAATGTATAGCATACAAATTGGACTTCATCCCGAAAAATCGACCTTCTGATGGGACTATGGAATCCTCACACGATACGACCATGGTTTTCATGCGGAAGTTACAACGACTGTTTTGGGCAATCGATAATTACGATATTGGAGGTAGTAATGAAGACCAAGCAGCTACAGAGTATGGATGGCTAACCAGCGCAGGAATGAACTCTTTGACTTCTTCAGGGCTCTATCCTCGCTGGATGTCCAGTGGCCATGCAGAACAAGATACTGACTGCACACTCTTACGATTTGATACTGATTGCTTCATGCGATAAAACATCCAATTTTATCACTAAGTTAGACGGCTACCAGGTCACATCAGCCCCTGGCATTTACAAAGGTTAGACCCCGAAGAGAATTCCAAACTTCGGCAGCTAAGCTGCTTGAGGTGCACATTCTCCAGGCTGATAAATTGCCACAAGATGAAGTGGACAGTGAAGTGGAAAGTGAAGATATAGTCCAATGGACGTTAGACAATGGAAACTGGAATTCCTCAATCGATGATATTTGCAGAAACTTTGTAATCAGGTGTAAGTCATCCCCTTCCGCATTTATATATCGGTCGGAGGAGCACACCTGATGGAGCCATTGCCGACGATGGGCCGGACCTCCCATGAACTCCATGTTTCATTCGTTCAGTGAGTCAGTTCAGACAACTCAATCGGCAATACGCATCAGCAGCTGAGTAACCACCTGCAGCGATCATCAGGACACACTATGGGGCTTTGCAGCCGCACGAAGTGGAGAAAATCCATGTGCTCTTGCTTAGTACTAATAGAGTTCGCCAAAGTGCACCTTCCAGTTGCGCGATCGGGTTAGCGTGACAGTTTCTTGAATATTACAGAAAAAACTCGTTAGAAAAGCTCAGTCAGTGATAGATGATGACAATATTGTGGCTGAACTCGGGCCACTTCCAAGATTACATGATCAAGGATTCTTTAGTGTTGGATAGAGTCTCTTGTCATCAACCATCAACCATCAACCATCAACATTCCCCCACTTGGAACTTGGAACACACTGGAAACTCCCTTTCGTGCAGGTTGGACTTCTTCAGACCTGCAAGCATGCTACTTGTCATTATTGACCCCAGGAAGTGATGCTGATGAAATCGTTTGACACCCCATAAACTTGTCAAGATGTAATCCCTTTTCTCTATACGTTCTGAGTGAGACTGATTGCAAGGACAAGCTATACATAGTGTTCGTCTTCCTACTATTTAATTATTCTGTAACGAAGTCAATAACCTTTTCTTGCAACAATTTCTTCCTATGAGAGTTGTTTTTCATTCTTTATAACTCAATCATATTTTCTATGAAGCAGTTGTTCTCAGTTTCAATTGCATTTTATAGATAATCAACTGGAAAAAAAATTTGTTGTTTATTTTCATCATGAAGTTTTGATAAACTAAAAGTTATGTTCCCCATTACAGAGTCAAAAGCAAAAAATCCTGAAATATTCACAGAGGTGGCTCCGAAAATACGTATTTGAGACGCGAAGATGAAAGTTAATCTTAATATATTTTGAGACGAAGCAAGTACTAGGAAGGCCATATCATCATATAAAGTAGCGTTTGAATCAATGTAGGGTAGAAAAGACTCTTGTTGAATCTCATCTCTTATCGAAGAAGACTTCTTTACGTTGATATATCAATAAGCACATATTATAAAAGCTGATATTGCACTAATGCTTTTATCTTGGATGAAAATTGCTACTTGTGGACAATGACAAGCCAAGTATGTTTTGAATATGAAAGTAGCATCAAGCCAACATACAAGCCTATCATGATATGATGAAATGTGATCATGTTGGATAATATGGATAATATCTCTGATATCTTATCTCATTCTATGAAAAAGCTAGTAAGTTTGACTAGTGTACAGACTCATCTATTCGATACAATGTGTTTCTTTAGCAACAGATTGTACCTCCTTTGCTACCCTATTCACAACAATAATTACACGTTAAAATTAATAGACAATACAATTAATCGAAAGTATATCAAGGGATATTCATGCAACATTAACATATTGAGCTTTCGTGCGCTCTTCCTCTCTTGACCATAGAAAGAAGATTAGAAGAATGTAGGAATGAAATTACCCTCGTGTCAAGGTGTAGGAATGAGATTGTTCTGGAGGAACGGCGAAGAACCAATTTCAGGACGGCGAGTCCGAGGGCTTATATACGAAATGAAAGGTGAGATGAAGTTGATCGGATCCAAATTGGCCCTCATTGCGCTATGACCTGATTACTACACATTACGTACCTCCCATTTTCTTCTCTGTTTCTGCACTCGCCTCCAACAAAATTAGAGGAACGATTAGAGGACGATATCATCTTCAAGTCCGTATGATTTGTCGAACGCACGCTCTATGGTTTATAAGCATATTTCTCTTTGTCTGCCGTGTCATGGAGCCGATTATCTATTTTCTGCAACGATGTTCTTAAACCCTGAGAAAAGCTCAAGGTTTAAGGCAATCGGTGGAACTCAAGCAATTGTATCGATTCTCGGGCAACAGCGAGGGGAGTCTGTAGGTCATGGGAGTCACCAGGTCACTACCCGTGTCGAACGCAACTTCGTCGTCTTCGTTTACACCGCGCGGTTCGATGTCGGTGGAGCATTTTGTACCTGCCAGTCTGCGCTTCGTTTGATGGCGAATGGAGGGCTGAAGAACCTATTTTCCGAAACCACTTGTTGATTTTACTGAAAAAACTTGGAGGATTTTGGGCACCTTTGAGAATACCCTGATTTTTCATCCCCTAACTCACACAGCAAATGACGGAATGACTGCCCGAAAATCTTCTGAAACAGAGGATTGTTGAAAGTGTCCAAAACACACATCTGGGGAACGATAAAGAGCACACAATACCAGGCAGCATCTTTAGAGACGACTGGTGGAGGTAATCCATGATAGACGACCACATTAGTTGATGATTTCTCGGATGCTCTGTAACTAATAATTTCAAAGGTTGAACATACTCTGTTCCGATGATATATTTTATCGTGTGTTGCTGTTGGGGCTAGCACCCTGCCCATAGCCTGTCCGAGGATTCCCGATGCTTTTGGTTATTTCACTTTGTATGGTCTCATTTCGTGCACACAACCAGAGGCTTGCGCCGAAGGGTTGTCTCATGAGAAGGCAAATTGTGGCATTGCTTCCAGGGTCTCGTACAACGAAGCAGGTGCTTTGTGACAGCCACGTTTGACAAGAATAGTGTCGATCGAGAGGGGACAGTGTGAAGCATCTGGCAAGAGGAATCTCGCCAATCTGTTCGTATACGGACGCAATCAATTATGGAAGTCTCTTGTCCAACGTAACGCAAGGAATTGAGGAAGGAGAAATTCCCAGTGCACAGTGTGGCCGCAGCACGTAACTCTAGGCTGAGCGGGGTCAGGATTTCTCTAGGACCCACAGGTACAGACAGACTCCGAAGGACGACGACGCACTGGCGCAGCAACGGCCATACATCCTTGCAGCTCTTCGTCTGCTCGTTTGATTCACGATATCGAAGCTACAGGTCGGCCAATTTTGTTTCCAGATACATAAGCAGGTCACTGGAGTACCGCAGTGGTCTAGGTTGTCGTCGTTGAACTCACCTCATCATACAGCTCCTCGAGCAAAGTGCACAATCATTGCTTGAGGAGAACAGAGGTGGTCAAACGCTCGAAGTTTGTGGTGCGCTGGCTGGTTGGTTGGCCAGGCCGGATTTTACACTTTAGGGACGACCGAGGGACTCGGTTGTTGATCGAACTTGATGTCAACAGAACGGAAGACAATCTGACTCGACCTTATCTACACGACCTCCGGCTCGAGAGATTCAATTTTTTGGGAAAACTCGAGGGATGGAGCATTGAATTGCTGCCGTTTCTTGAGCTTTGGTACGTCCTCTCATATGATTCCGCATTTGAGTGTCGGGGTTCTGGTGCAGGTGTGTGTTCTCACCGGGTTTTTTTCAACAGCGTGTCTAGTCTCTGTGTCCCTTCTGCACGGATTGCATGCCTATCTTCTTCCTGAAGCCGGAGAAAAAGAGTAAACCGCAGGGAAGGGGAAACGAAGGCCTCAAGGTTCAGCCAGGCAGAAGAAGGGAAAGAAAGACAGCAAAGATGTGTGGGACGAAGCCAGCTCTCATATTCTGAGAATTGATTTGGCCGAGTCTCAGCTAGATACTAGAAAATATTTCCAGGAGTATGACGAAGCAAATATCTACACCGATCTCAGCCTCACCAACTTCGTGACGAGGGAAATTCTCCAATTCACGTCCGCCGGTCTGCAGACGAGGCACGAATGGGCTCAATATCTCGCTCCAGACGAACGCATCACATTTATGGTCACATAAATTGTTCCGTGGACTGATCTCCAAAAAGCCCTGGCGTGATCGCTCAGACCGTGAACCCCAAGGCTCGCTGACCCTGGATTAGGTCTCAGTTTTTGTCAGAACACTACTGGGGAGTAGAGATCTGAGAGTGGCGTTTACAGTGCCCGTGGTATGAATTCAACAGCTCAATAGGACGATTGGCACAGTCTGTCAGATGCTCTGGACTTGTGCGCTCCTTCGTTTGAATTTCACCGAAGGATACAGGTTTACTTAAGCGGGAAGGTTGTTGCGTTCAGCTGCATATCTGGTAGAGCCTGGGAGGCCAGTGCTAAGATTTGATGTAATGTCGTGTCGTGTAGATGATCCAAGTAAGTCTTGCTTTAACAACTGACGAAGGATCAATGTTTTCTTGTTACCGGTTCTTCGTACTGCGCATAGAAGACACATCTAACAGCAGTAGGCGAATTTGTACATTTCTTGTCGTGCTCATTATATTCCAGCTTTTGTTATAATGATACTGCAACTAACCAGAGAAGACCGATGTTTTTGTCATGCAACACTGTCGTGGTTTATGCAGAACGTAAAAGGCATGAACTCATCGGACTTGGACTTCCCGAGGTGCCTCAAGAACATGACTCCCAAGCTGCAACGTATGAACATGTCAAGTATCCTCCATAAATTTGCTGTTTTGGGATCTAGTTGCTGTTTCATACTGATGTCATCATCTTAACCTCAAGGTGCTCGTCTTTGCCGAAGTTTTCTGTTTTCTTTAACCACTGTTGCGCTTACTTATAAGGTGACATGGTTGTGTGTTTCGCTGTAATCAAAGCTTTGACCATCATCACATTACCTGGATTCGCTTCTGCTAGTATATCTATTGGAACATAGTCAGGCTTGTTACCTTGACGGACACAGACATTTGAATGAGAAGATGGAAGCCGAAGAGATGGAGCAAGATTACCCCACGGAATCTTCTGATGAGGAGATGCCAAAAATAAAAAAAAGGGAAGAGAAGAAGTACAATTGTCAAGAGTGTGATTATGCTGCTAGTAAACCTGCGCTGCTCATACAGCACCTACGATCTCACTCTGAACAGGTTTGAGTCTCTTTTGCTGTGAAGGGGCTTCCCTTTTTTTGCTCTCTACATATATTTTACGTGAAAGCTTTACCTTGACAACAATTGGGTGATCTACCTTTGTTTATGAGCTTGACACATATTCCCGCTTTGAAGCAGCTTCGTCCGTCACTTGGAGACATGAGACCATCAGTTGAAGTGTGGAATGAGTTTCTCTGTGCACGTGGTTTTCCTTTCATTAAAAATTGGTTGTATTGTTCGTAACTTGATTAGTTTTCATGTTCAGGATTGCACACATGAGACTTACATCATGATGACCATGGTCTGATCAGCGCTGGCACACCGGATCTCATCCGAACTCCGAAGTTAAGTGTGCGATTGGACCACCAGATTAGTACTAGGGTGGGTGACCACCCAGGAAGTCCTGGTGCTGCTTACAAGACCGTGTCTTACGTATATGTAATGGGGAATTGTTCGATCCATAACTAAGTGAATTGGGCGTTCTTTGTTTTCTGAACAACAGAAACCTTTTTCTTGCCCCGTGAGTGGTTGCCCTAGCACATACAAGCGTCAGGATCACCTCAATCGTCATATGAAGATACACGATGGAGCCCGGTTTAGCTGTACAATACCAGGTTGTGACCGGTCTTTCAGCATGATGACTAATCTAACGCGTCATTTAAAGTATCATGCTGAAAAGTCCATTTTTCCGAAGCCCAAGTCTTCCGGAGAGAAAAAGCACAAATGTCTAAACCCTGGTTGTGAGAAGATATTTCGATATCAATCAGAGCTGCGATCTCACGAGGACAACGTTCATAGTGAGAAACTGCCTCCCTTTTTTCTACAAGTCTTTAGTCTAATTAGTAGTTGTTCCTCGAAGGCAGTTTGCCTGCTGGAAGCAAGTCCTGTAATAATCTCTGAGGAGAAGGTGATGCATCAAGCTCTTACTGGTTCTGTAGAGAACCTCTTTTACCTCAAGGAAGCTGAGCATTCTGTCAATATGGTTGAGGTTTATATGTTCATCTAGTGGGATTCTGAAAACGGGATTTATCAGGTCTCCAGATACCGTTGTGGTATATCCCTTATTCCTGAGTGGTGTTTTTGACATCTTTTGAACAGGCATCGTTTTTGCGGAGCATGTGTGCATATACCCCGGGTGTGGAGAGAAACTGACTAGCGAGGCAGCACTCTTGAAACATGCTGTAGAAGCACATCCATATCTTTTATGTGAGGTCTGCGGTGAAACTATTACAAGGCAAGCATACAGGCGGCACGTGCGCTCTCATGGAACGAAAAAGCCTGTAAAAGTTACATGTCCTTACGAGGGGTGCACACATCATTACACAAGGGTAAGTCGTCTCTCCGAGCTCGGTGAAACATAAATCCCTTTCCGTTGAATTAGATGTACAATCGTGGACAAGCAATTATACTTATGTAACCTGCTTGTTTCGTGATTTGTTGAAACTTTTCGGTCACCAACCTCTTGATGGATTGTACCTTGTAGGAATCGAACCTAAGGTCGCATATCAGGTCTTTCCACCTTAAGCTGAAGCCATTTGTATGTTCTTTCGAGGGTTGTGACAAAAGCTTCGCCCACAAGGCTGCAAGAAAGAGGCATGAAATGTCAGTAGTACACTGTCATACTGGAGTAAGGCATTCATTCACTTTATTCGCCTTTCTTTGTGTTGAAACCAGCTTAGAACAGCTCTTTTTCAAAGTTGTATCTGTTAGTTAGTGTCCGGGATCCCTTATCTACTAAGGCAGCTCCCATCAGAATTTCTGTCCAATTTTGGAGTTAATTATTGTAGGGACGTAGACGATGGCTTTTTTCTTACTTATCTATCCAGCACTGCTCAGACAAGGTGGGGGTGCAACGGTCTTCAGGCAACGAAATGCACATTCTCATGACAATATTCATTGACGATAGTTACCATGGTGCAAATTATCTCACGAAGTCATATAGGTCTTCTTGCGTACTTCCTAATAATGGCATATTTGTCCTGAAAGACAATGGAGCGAGGATAAGTTGACAATTCTCTTTTCATAGAAGTATAATCGCCAACATAGATGTTGGTGGAAGTACCCCATTAATATATCCAGTGTACACAGCGGACACCTGCAGATATCGAAATAAGCAGCGTTAACGTACGAGTTGTTTTGTATTTGCGACGCAGACCGATTTTGAGGCGGCAGAGCTGGCGGAGTCATCGAAGTCAAAGGGTGGCAGGAAGAAAGTCTGTTTTGAAAAGGTGGAGGACCTGTATATCAGAAGAGCAAAGAAGGTATCATCGAGTCGTGCTAAGGGGCAGCATCATCACATCGATAGTCAAGGAGAAGAAGAAATGAAGATTGGTACTTTATGAGCCAATACGTAAATAACAATGCGCAATTAGAGATCTGGTGTGAGGGGCTTATGTTCCCACCCAGACGCGTATACGTCATTACCTCGGCCATTAGAGTAGTAAACTGAAGAGCAGATTTATGTAGTATCATAGTCGCAGTTGGTCAGTAAGTTTCATCTTACAAGACTCGGTCTTTGCCGTCAGGTGCATTTGAGGGGTTCTTTTCTTTTGATGGCTGGTTCGAACGTATAGTACGGCTTTCTTTCTCTTTTCGGCAAGAAAGAAGGATATAGAATATTTATGTTTACTTCACAACGGGACCAGTGATTGTATCCTGAGTGAAAGAAGGCATGGTTGGCAAAATTAGTGGTTTCATATTGGAGAAGTTGAAAATTTCGCCGTATTGATGAAAATAGAAAATTATCAAAATTTAACGAAAACAATTGATTTCACCCCTGTTTTTATCTGACTTACCTCACTTTGTAAAACAATATACTACGATTGTAGAAGTGTATTATCTCACATAACATATCGAAGCGGCAACCGCTGGTCTCTCGTTGTGGAGATACTAATCAGTCATTTTGGTACATTTCCTCGCTTTGGGTTCAAAACTCACCAGAATATTGTGTGTATATTGATATCGACCAACTGTTCCAGTCGTGCGTGGAAAATTTGCAATATCGACAGCTTCATGGCTTGATCGGTGAAGCTGAGTATATAAACTGGAAATACGGCAGACGCCTTGCAGCGAGTGTAGTTCCCAGCTGTATCACGTCTTCCTCTGCACGTCATTCAAGTGGTAACGCAGACTAGAACTATACGCCTTGTGTAATGACCCGCCATTACAAAGGTAGCGAAACCTACCAGATCAGGAACCCAATGAGAATCATAACCCATCATATGTTTCATCACTCAAAACTGCCACAGTACATCTGTAGCTTCCATTGACAAGGTCTTGACTTGTACTTGTCGCATAGTTTGTTTCCATAGTGAATCCCATCCATACTCCAGTTCAGTGCACCGATTCGACCAAGTTACTCCCGTTCCTCTCTCAGCTGTCATGGTATCGTTGAAGATATGCTCAGACCGAAGCAGGCATGATTCTACAGATCCTTTATGGAACGGAAGGTAACTGACGTGTTTCTGCCTTCAGCCTTGTGGATTCCATCGCATTGGAATTAACATTCGACTAAGATACAAACTCGTAATCTAGCGCTGCGTCTGGCCGTAATTGCTGCTCTGAAAGGTAATCTTGCTAAGATAACTATATCTGACTCGTACTGATCACATCGAACTTCACGCCGTTCTGTTCTAGACGATCGATGAGATCGGTGGTACCAAAGGCAGCTCCTGGTGTCAACACCCCACCCTTCGGTAGAGTTGACCTCCGATCTAAGACAAGCAGAGCGCACTGCACTAGACAAATAGGAGTTGTAATATATCCGATCTCTGGACCAGATATCCTCGTCACGATTTGCTTGTCTGGTTTTGTGGATTTGGTGATTTGTTTGGTGGAGTCACTGAAGCCTTTGCCCACAAACCACTGCTGGAAGGTTGCATTCTTAACGTCATCCTCAGATGGTCCTTCCTTGAGGAACACACCGAAGGAGAAAATTTGAGGGTACTTCAGTAGGAGACTGCGGCCAACCTTGAACTGTGCCATAATGAACAAAACTATACCTAAAAGGAAGAATCCTAGGACACCAGAGAATTGTTTGAATGAAGCATACACCCCGAAGTGGACTGGCTTAATGTCGTTCCATTTCTGTTGCTTGGTCGCGAGAAACTCCGGGTTGTCATCTTCGACACTCGAAAGACCTTCGGGATTCTCGAGTTTCTTTGCAAAGGTCCGGCGCACCACAATAGCATCAGCTGAAGGCAGTTTCACCGCCCACGTTCCCGAGTTCTTCTCGTAGTGCACAATGCCATGACTACTCTCCAACAAACCTGGAATCTGCAACGACCAGCGACCGAATCATTTATCAGCATCTTCCATGATTTGACGGTTGGTTCACGACAGTTTCTCTCGAGGTGGACCCTGCTCTGCTTCCCATGCAGGTGTAATATGCATGACCTCTGCATGGTTCAGACGCTTCCCCATCACCTGAAAGAGCTTGTCATCTATGCACGACACGGACACATATGAAAGACCCACCCTTCCGACATATACACACTCCGCTTCACCTTGTGCTTTGGCGTGCTCTCACAAACACGTGCACTCTGGTCTCTACTTTCGTCGCTGAAGCGGCTCATTATTGTACCCTATATATGTTTCTACTGAAGCGGGTGGCAGGCAAGTGGGAGGAATCGGCATCTACAATGATTTGACGATTGTGTTAAGGAGAGCTACACATGTCTACAACCACGTTTCTCAAGAGCTACATGATTGCGGTCCGACTGTATCATGTACTGAACCAAAGGATGGGGCAGTCGACTGTGTCAAGAGTTGAAAGAACCAAATCCAGTTACATGAACTACCTACGTCTGAAGATTGCAAACGCCCTTCATGCGCCAGCCAGATGGGAAAAACTCAAGGAATCGATGAAAGAAAAAATCTGAAGGACTTCGAAGCACCTGAGGACGAGCACGCCGTGGACGAGACTTTCTCAGAGCCTGCAGTTCGCTCTGGTGCGCAATTCCCAGTACGGCCGACTCCCATGTTCCAAAGTTGCCATGAAACCCACCACCTGCGCTCGAGAGGACGAGGTAGGAATCACACGTCTGCGGCAGAGCGGGTGCTTGAAATTGTCGGGCATTGTGAAGGGCACCGAATTCGGCAGGAATGGAATCGTAGCCGCATGCACTCACGAGCAAACAACCGTTCGTCCTGGCCTGCTCATCGAACTTGGCTTCCATTCTTTCCATGAATTCGGGCTCTCCGGTGATGTCCAAGTAGTCGACCCCGGCTTGCACGCACGCGGCCACCACGGGCTCGCCATATTTCCTGTAGGGCCCCACACAGTTGAGCAACAATCGCGTCCTCTTGCACATGGAGGCTAGAGAGTTGGGATCGTCGACATTGGCCTCGAAAATGGACACCGCAGTCGGCGATGGCTTCCCTTCCAAAGCCCACTTGAGCGAGTTCGAAAGCTTGGCCTTGCTCCGCCCGGCAATTCCCACTCTCCGCGGCCCCCCGCCGGGCGCAGACTCGGCGAACTTCAGAAGCTCGCGCACCACGTACTTCCCCGTGAAGCCCGAAGCTCCGAAGATGATCACATCCATCAGCTCTTCGGCGGCCATCGTCGCACTCTCGCAATCCCCAATCGCAGTCCGAAATGAGTCAGATTCTCGACAAACCCTCGATCATCCAGATCTCCGATTTGCCCAAACGCAATGCTGTCAGCTCAGCTGCGCTCGACTGCCCTGCGCCCCTCGAAATCCGAACTCCGGCACAATCTGACCCTCCGCCCCTCGCTCTCAGTCGGCGACCGATGGAGTGACGAGAGCTCCGCTGCTGCAATCCTCGACGACGTCGACGTCGACCTCGTCCGACACGGCACGGCACGGAGCCAGATCGGCAAGTCCAAGTCGGACAGGCCGGCGCGGGATACATGTCACCGTCCGCCATCGCTGCTGTGTTGGACGTGGACACGCTCTCCTCCCGTCCACGCAGCCGCGGCACCGATTGCACCAGTCATTCAGTCGACGCTCCTCGAGGACGAGAAGACTGGCAGCGACTGGTGGCGACTCTTTGACCGGCTATGAATGTTTGATTTATCGTGATAAATCCTATTAGATCGACTTTATGATATCCTGTGAACGCGTGTGAAGGCGATATACTTTCTTTGGCACATAAAGTCGATTCCAGCGTAGGACAATTATAGCTTTTAAACATGGTTTTTTCCGGTCAAGTGAAAATCAATATGGGTTTGTAATTACGGTAATCATATCCTGCAAAGTTGGTAAAGCCGGACCATAAGGTCCGGCTTTACTTAACATCGACGATGTGTATCCACACCATTCCAATTGTATCCACCATTCCAGTGGAAGACTAGACGGTGCTCATAAATGAATCAAGGCAGTCCCTGGCTTGTTTACTGAGGTAAGGAAATCCCTGACTTGTGTATGCATATATTTAATTAATGAATATGCATGATCATACTAATGTTTCATAATGTGTTATATCATCAAACCATTGGCGTGCGCGAGCCTTTTTTCTAACCATGAACACATCAAAGTGCATGGAATTGTGTGTATACATTTACATAATTTAAGATGATCATAACTTGTATTCTGGCATCATTCAGTAAAATTTGTCACATTTTAGATTTACAATCTGTATGATGACATTTTTGTCTGTTTGAGATATTTTTTTATAGAGTTATTACAGAACATGATTTACAGCCACCATACCAAAACCAAGGATCCTGACTGTTCTTCAAGCGTCAAAATCGTAGGACATGGCTGGACTTAATCCAATCCAGTGAGTTTTCATATCAAATGCAAATGAGAATCTTAAGTTTGCATTTTTTGTATTTTTAATATTTCCTAACATTTTTTTGTAAACATAGTCATATGTTTACAAAATTCAGTGCATCTTGGACATTGAGACTACTCTCTTAAGAAGACAATCCTCACCTGTTACAATGCACTCGAAATCTAATTAGGTGTATTTATGTATCTGTCCCGACTTAATGCAGCAAAGGATGAAGAAACAACATTCCAACTGCAAACAGAGCACACAATCAAAACCGCACGTTGGGTGATCAGAGATACAGCGCCAGTCCCTTTTCTACACCAGAGCAGCTTTTCCTTTGACTTTGGAGTCCTCTCGGATCTACTCCGAGGATCTATCTTCCAATCCTTCGATGCCGAGTTACCAAAAGCAAGGCGGACTCTGACATAAGCATCAGGCTTCCGAGCTAGAGGAGGCTTGCTTCAGCAGATTAATTCTTGTGGCGAAAATCCAGGAAAAGCTCTTGGGGACAGCCTGAATCTGACCGTAACGAGAAAGTGATTGCCGAATTCGATTTGCTGTCAAATCACACATTGGGAGTGCAGAGAAAGAAGCTCAGGCAGGCCAAGTTAGTTTCAGACATGGAAAAAATCTTCAGCCAGGCCATCGATTTCAACAAACGCTGGCATCCCGATGTGTCGATGGAAGGGATCGTCATTCTTGAGGAATCGGTGTGAGGCAGTGTCAAGAAACCCAAATTCAAGCGGCGGGCAGAGCGGAAAATGGACGAGTTTCGAATAGAAGGCTCGAATCGACATGGACTCGTGTTGCTTTGTGCAGGAAAATAATTGGACAAATTACTTCTTTGTAATTTGCAAGACAAGACAGTTGCAGCAGATTACGCTGTGCTGGAGAGAACCCCGAAGCGGAAGAGAGCTAGAACTACACAAGACTGAAGAGCCCACGTGAAGACGGTCCACCACGACGCGAACAGCATCAGGGCCCGAACAAACGAAGGGGCGAAGAAGAAGGCTCCCTGCTCAGCCGCTTCGTCCAAATGCATGCCACGAGTTCTGGCCAATCCTAAAAAGTGGAGAACCAGAACTCCGGGCACCAAACTCTGCAAAGCGATTCTGCACACGAAGTAATTGTTGAGGAAGATCTTGGCTTTGGTGACCTCCGGATTGTGGACTTTGCTTTGATGCAAGCCCCTGTACCAGGACAACACTGCCCCATTGCAGTACGACTGGAGGTTGACGCGGAACAGAGACACTTGCAGTGCCCCCACGACGAAAAGTGCCCACAATTGAATTCGGTGGAAGGTGTCTTCCGCGAAGCCCAGATCTGCAGCCCAGTCATAATCCCGTGCAAGAACACCCCTCCCGACCACCCCGAGCATGGCAATGCCATTCTGCAGTTTGGAGCCCAGCCCTTCTGCTGAAGCACCGAGTTGTCCGCAGCTCTGAGCATCCAAATCGCCAAATCCATCCGCTCCTCCTCCGCACGTACCAGGCTTGCCGGGATGAAGGAACATCGCTGCCATCGGCTTGAACCAAATCAAGGAGGCGGCGGGAGCGAGAAACAAGCTCAGGTGCAAAAAGTCCCTCACAAGGGGGCCTCTCTTAAGCACAGCAATATTCCACAGGAGGTGGTCCGTTCCGACCCAGTAATTCTTGACATTCCGGAGCGAGGCTCCGAAGAGAAGACCCGATACGATCCCGGAAAATAGAGCGATTATAACCTTCACGGACATGGGAGACACCGAGAAATCCATCGGGGCTTCCACACCCTTCTTCTGCATGAAGAGAGTCGCAGCCTTGCCAGCATCCAGGACTGCTCCATCTATGCCGAAATCGACCACCGATACCGGGAGCACGATCAGCAGAATGTAAGCAGCGGCGAACCCCAGGAAGCCAACCCCCCAGTTCCACCAGCGCTCTGAGCTTCGCGCCAACCTGGGATCAAAGCCCACGCGTGCAAGCAGCCGGAGGAGTTTGTAGCAAGTAAACGCTCCGACCATGAATGTGATGCGTTCGTCTGGAGCGAGATGTCGAGCCCATTCGTGCCTCGTCTGCAGAGCGGCGGATGTGAATTGGAGAATCTCCCTCGTCACGAAGTTGGTGAGACCGAGAATGGTGTAGATAATTGCTTCGTCATACTCCTGGAAGTATTTTCTAGTCTCTAGCTGAGACTCGGCCAGATCAATTCTCAAAATCTGGGAGCCGGCTTCGTCCCACACATCTTTGCTGTCTTTCTTTCCCTTCTTCTGCCTGGCTGAACCTTGAGGCCTTCGTTTCCCTTTCCCTGCGGTTTCCTCTTTTTCTCCGGCTTCGGGAAGAAGATAGGCATGCAATCCGTGCAGAAGGGACACAGACACTCGATATGCTGTTGAAAAAAACCCGGTGAGAACCAGCACCAGCACCAGAACCCCGACACTCAGATGCGGAATCATATGAGAGGACGTACCAAAGCTCAAGAAACGGCAGCAATTCAATGCTCAATCCCTCGAGCTTTCCCGAAAACTTGAATCTCTCGAGCCGGAGGTCGAGTCAAACTGTCTTACGTTCTGTTGACATCAAGTTCGACCAACAACCCAGTGCCTCGGTCGGCCCTAAAGTGTAAAATCCGGCCAGCGCACCACAAACTTCGAGCGTTTGACCGCCTCTGTTCTCCTCAAGCAATGATTGTGCACTTGGCTCTAGAAAGCCGGATGACGAGGTCAGTTCAACGACGACTACCTGGACCACTACGGCACTCCAGTGACCTGCTATTGAATCTGGGAGGCTACTCTATTAGGGTTTTCTCCCAAACCAGCATTGATTCAGGCGCAGATTCGATCCAAACCACGCTGACATACAAGATGGAACCAAATTGGCAGACCTGTAGCTTCGATATCGTGAATCGAACCAGCCGCCGAAAAGTGGCAAGGACGTGTTGCCGTCGCGCCGGGGCTTCGTCGTCGTCCTTCGAGGTCGTCGGTTTGCTTCAGCAGAACGGGCAATCTACAGGTCGACAAACCGCAGAGAGTCTCGGGAAATTGTGGGCTCGAGAAAAGGCATCGCAGGAGGACTGAGTGACATTTGGGATCTCTGATCCGACAATTGCCGGCCTGCCACTTTCTTCGACGACACAGTGCGCTTCATACTGCGCACATGTGCGTCTGTCTGTCTGTACCTGTGGGTCGTAGAGCAACCCTGACCCCACTCAGCCTAGAGTTACGTGCTGCTGCGGCCACACTGTGCACTGCGAATTTCTCCTTCCTTCATTTCTTCGCTTCCCTTGACAAGAGACTTGCACATCCGAAGAGGTTGACGAGATTCCTCTTGTCACATGCTTTACATTGTCCCCTCTCGATCGACACGATTGTTGTCAAAAGCACATTGCTTCGTTGTGCGAAGCCCTGGAAGCAATGTCACAATTTGCCCTTTCATGAGCCAACCCTTCAGCCCAAGGCCTCTCGTTAGATGCTCGAATGCGACCATACCAAGAGAAATAACCGAAGGCATGGGGAGTCCCCAGAACATGGTGCAAGCCCCAATGGCATCACATTGATAAATATATCATTTGAACATTTGAAAGTATGTTAAATCTTTGACATTATCAATTACAGAGCATACGAAAAATCATCAACTAATGTAATGCGATCGTCTTTCATGGATTACCTCCACCTGTAGTTTCTATAGTTGCTGCCTGGTATTATGTGCTCTTGATTTCTCCCTATATGTCTGTGCTTGGACACTTTTAACAATCGTCTGTTTCAGAAGATTCTTCGAGCAGTCATTTCGTCATTTGCTGTGTAAGTTTGTGGATGAGATTTCAGGGTGTTCCCAAAGGTGCTCAATATCGTACATTTGGTAAAATATAATCAACAAAAGGTTTCGAATTATCGGTTCTTCATCATTTTCTCCTTTGAATTTTGATATTGTCTTGCATATTCTAGAAGTAATTATTTCTCGGGATTCACTCGAAATTTGACGAAACCCGCGCACTTCTGCCGAAATTATAACGATCTCGTACTGAAGCCCCACATCATAAACATTTTGGCTGCTTTGGAAAGCACTCCTTTGCATGATTTGTGCTAGTTATCTGCTGTCCATCATGTGCCTCAAATGAAGTTGGTGGAAAGACCTGCTAGCGGGAAGCTCTGACCTACGTAGTCTAGTCATTTCATCGATCAATGTAAACATTGGGTAACATCTATATACACGAGGGTCAAACCAACATAAAAAAGTAAAAGTAAGTAAGTAAGTATATATATTTATATTTATATTTATCAATAAACCAGGCTACCATCTTACCATGTGGAGACTTACGCCGTCATGTTATGTCGATATACCCTAAATTTATCATAACATTTTTGATGTAGTTTTTTTAAAAGTTCAGATATTAAAAGTATTGTAATATACAATTTTCATTATTATTGAAATTTAATCAATAATTTCAGTTTTTCTCTTCCGAGTTTATTGTTTTATTTTCACCCTCATAATATCTACTCACTTCTTTGTTAACAATATCACCTTTCCATACCAAGATTAAACATTTATTAATGATAAAAAACTTTAATCAAAACATTCCGTTGGATTGAGGAAATTAATTGATGGTATCCAATAATGACATAAATTTTTTACCTGAATCCATCAAGTTTCGTTTGACCTCATGATATCTCAACAACTTGGCCGTTAGCAGCAGTGTGCAAAAGAAGTAGCGTCTAGTAGTTGGAGCAGAAGCCACGGATCAAAGAAACTTTTGTTTTTTGTTTTTTTTTTTATATTGAGATCTTATGAAAGTTGTGAATACAATAAACATTCGCTTAAGTACTCATAATTCTTTCAAAAAAACTAAATCAACAGTAAATTACGTATTCAATGCATACAATTGAATAGAATCATTTGACGACTCTTTGTCATGATCTCACAAGTAATTGCCGATTGGTCTGCTTGCAGAATGCAGCAAAGCGTGAACAGTGCTGATTTGGCTTGAAAAATTTGCTCCTATGACAAAATTGTTGATTCCTGAAGATCATTTAAACGGATATTCAAATTTACAACATCTAGTAGTGAGTCATTGATTACATCACTCTGGTCAACTGAGTCTTCACTCATATTCAGGATTTTGCAATCGGATTCATTTTTACTGTCCTAAGATCACTCTTCAACAACAATGGTGACAACGTTTGTCATTGCATATTCAGCTTTCTTGAAACAACTTTTTCAAATTGTGCACTGAGATGTTTTCATGAAATATTAACAAAGTTAGCAGCGTTACGCAATGAAGCAACCTACAATAAACAACTCTTGCATCATTTTGTTTCATTTTGATGTAGCATAGTCTTATTGCTCCTTGAAAAACTTCAAAAGTATCATGACAAGCGATGATGTACTTGATTAGTAGATAGTTGTATCTTTTTTTGATGACAAAAATTATCCCATATCCATGTATTGTTTTCATGACATGACGTTGGGAGTAAAGAACATCACAAAAATTTTGTTTTGCTCTAACAGTTGTGAGTGGTCTCGCACATTGTCTAAAATCAATAGCACTTTGTGGTCTGTGCATTTTCACACAAAAAGCATAAAAATCTCACTGAACCATTTGTTAAAGGTTTCAACCTCAATCCAAGCATTCTTTTGTTGCATGTATGGAATTGGTCGGAGTTTTTGGCAATACACGTTGGCTGTTTGGCTTTCCCAATCATGATAATTGATACTCGCTCTGTCCCCATAGCATTGTAGCAAATAACAAGACTTACATGGTCTTTTGCTTTCTTTTTCTCTCAAATCGTAGAAACATATTTGCGTGGCAAAAGAAATGTATAACAAGGTACAAGTGAAAAGAACAAGCATGTTTCATCAATATTGTAGACGTAAAATGAGTCATATTGATCAATAACAAAACCCAATTCTTCAAGAGCTTCGATAATTCTTAGGATTATTTTTATTGACTTCTCAACCTTCTCCAAAAATATTGGTGGAGTTCAATCCAGGCCGATGGCAAAACCTAGTAAACCATCGCCAAAAAGCCTTAAATTTCTCCTCTGGTTTTTTTAAGTAGAAACGATAATTTTTTCCTTATGAAAAATAATATTGGGAGGCAATGCAAGTGATACATGATGACTAGCTTCAATCCACTGGAGTAGATTCTGTTCAAGTTCAAAAAACGTAACATGAGATGCACAAAAGTGATTCCCGGGGCTACATTTCCTTTTAGCCTTTTGTAGCCAGCACTAAGGTTGTCTATATTGTAAATGTCTTCATAGAAGACGCGACCGAGCACGGGAGGCGTCATCGGTCTAGACTCACCTTTATTGGCCTTGGTTTTAGTAGTTGCTTTCGCTGATTCTGCTACACTCCCAAAAAAATATATTTCTGCTTTTCTCAGTCTTCCATTTTCTGCCCTGTCCTGTTGGTCGACCCTCTCCTTTTGTCTTCGCACTACATGCATGTGGGCTGTTTGACAAAAAAAAGCTTTTTCCGCCGGCACATTACCATCTACAGTCCTTCCCTCAGAGTCTTTCACATCACGGGCATCGTCGTATACGCGACTTGGTTTGCCCAGTGTATCCCTTGGAGTTTCTGAATAGCTTGATTACTTTATGAGCTCTTTCACGGATTTTGTCTATGTTGGACAAAATCTAACGCAAGACCACTCTTTACATAAGAATTAACTAGAACTAAATTGTAACTATAACAAGATAAGAATAACAAGATAAAGAGTTAACTAAAATACCTGCTAGCATAGAAGTAACAAAAATCTACTAACATATATAATTAATCCGTGCTATAGAATTTAGCACGGATCAAAAGAAACTTAACACAATGTAAATCTTTACATGAGAATAAATTAGGACTTAGAGTAGTCATCACATGATATAGTAACTATATAAAGAGATACCAATCTCAAACTACTATGCTAGCAAACTCTGCTTGTGCTCGCCATGCATAACATACATAATAGCACAGTGTCACCTGAAACTATTCAAAAATATACTTTTGGCCAACACATCAACTGGATTAAATTTTAGCTTCAATATTGATTAACTCAATCATTTTATTAAAGTTTACTGTCAATCTTGACTTGTTCAATCATGAAAGTTTACCATCAGTCTTAACTACCTTCATCATCAGAGTTTATTGTCATCTTGATTAGCTTAATCATCAGATTTTACAAGTTATCTTGACTAGCTCAATCATTTTATCGGAATTTACCGTCAATCTTAATTAGTTCAATCATTTTATTAGAGTTTATCGTCAATATTGACTAATTCAATCATTTTCATTAAGCACTTTGCTGGTAGTGGCTAAACCACAACACCTCATAAGAAATCCATCCACCTTGACATCATTTAGCAACCGAGTAACCTTACACAATAATTCTTCAATGAAGATTAAAAATGTTGCAAACAAACTACTTTTGTGATCTTATTGAACAAATCAAAAAAAGAAAGAATCTCAATTAAAACTCGTGTATGTAGCTCCAAAATAGTAGATTGCGCGGTTGTTTCCAAGTCTCATATCCAACGTCAAAACCACCTTAAACCGTTGTGATACTTCTCGACATAAAAGCATGGAGCTAATTTCATCATCTTCATCTTCAGCTTCCTAAGCAAACAAACAATGGATGCATCTTTATAATGAAAGAGAAGTTTTCTATCTACTTTCTCATACCACCCCAAAAATTTCATGATTTTTCATCCCACGTAGTTACTAATCTTGGGCTTGGACCATCTTGTGGCACGCTGCAGAAGCACGGGAAACATCATACCTCACGATTGAACATTGCGCTGACTAGCCTCTGAAACAATTCGTTTGCCAAATGTAGCAGTAAAAGGTTGCATCAGCCCACAGTCACTGGGTAAATATTTAGATGTTCAGTTTGAAGTCCTCATGTCTGTCACGAGATTGACTTTCAGATTGTGTAACTTGCACCATCATATCCAAACAAATAAACACGAGATATGTCTCCGTAGTATGATGTGGGTTCAGCAAACGGTCAAAGGAGTCGGCGTGAAGAGTTAGAGAGAGACGTAGTCTTGAATTGTGATTACAAGTGGCCGACATCAACTCGACCTACGAGAAGCGTAAAATCACTTTACAAAAGACGGGGGAGGTGCGAGAAGCTTGAGGTGTTGGAAGGAACAAAATAACCAAGGGATGAATTCCACCTTTTCAATTGCGGTGCTCTAAAACACTATTACAAAAAAATCTAGCTAAAATTTCTTTCTTCCGTTTATGAAGTGATCGATAGTCTTGGCATCCAACTCCGAGTCCGCCGTCCTTGATCCACTTTGAATAACTTGCCGCTATTCAAAACTTCCGAGCACACCCCAGATGTTAGATTGCAAGAGTTAGCCAAAACTTACGTACAGAGTTTCAACTCCCAATAGTGTCACCTCTTAGTATTGACATCCTCCCAATAGTGACTTAAAACCGAAGAACCATTAGATGTTAGAGTGAAAATCTATCAAATAAGAAAGGTACGTCATTATTTTCTTATAGTGACATAACATCTCAAATAGTGACCGTTTGTGGCATGTGGCAAATATTTGCCACTTGCTTTGACATTTTGAGTTTGGTAAGTTCAAGCTCTCAATATCTCACTCGACAGATTGGGGAAAGTTAATCTTGCAATTCTGGAGAAAAATCTTGCAGAAGCTGATTCATTCAAGTCTCACGAAAAGGCTGCGTTCTACTATCATATGAGAAGATCATGCAAGAAGACGGGTGATCAAATGAAGAATCAAGTTTACAGTGTGTAAAGAGAGAGACCTTGGAGGCTGATGTACAACTCGTGAAAGGAATGGAGTGGATTTTGTTGGATTTCGATGGCAGGTGAAATGTGCTTCTTCCTATTCTCTCATGACAGAAGGCTATCGTCTGACCTCAATGATTCAGACTGGAGTTTATACCTCAGTTTCATGTGTAGGTTGGAGGTCAAAGGAATTTCCGAGATTGTAAATCTCTTGTCATTCCTACGGACATGACTGAATGTTAATGATTTTCAGAGCATTTCAAATTAGCACAATGAATCAAGCAGAGTTCATATTCTGGGAAGAATATCAAGAGCACACACATATAAATTCAACAATCCTTTCTTGAGCTTCTGTATGAAGGTGGTTCAGAGAGTTGAACATGTAAATGTATGAATATTAGTAGAACTTTTTTCATGGAAACAACTGCTTAATGTATCCACAATCAAAGACAATTTTTCTAGAAGATTTTGTGTCCAAAGTATTCTTCAAAAGATTCTTTTGGGCATTGATCGTGCATCAAATGTAGTCTTCAAGCTCAATGACTCAGACAAAACCTTGGTCAAATTTCAACGAAGATGATGGGAATTACTTCACAAACATAGTCGATTGATCCTGTCATGCTAGAATTATTGGTGTTGATTTAGATTTGTTGCTATGGCTGGCTGAGGCTAATATGAAAGTACTCTTGTCATTTCTTGGACTCATCTTCTGATACTGCGTAGTATCTACTCGAAATCGAACGATGTTTGAACGAAGGGCCGTGAAATCTGTAAATCTGTACATCAAATCAATTGCGTGAGATCAACATCAAATCAATGCATTCAGTGAGAAGTGAAAATTCTGTGAAATCAGTAGATATGTACATCAAATCTATTGAATGAGATCAACATCGAATTAACCCATTCAGTGAGAAGTGAAAATTCTGTGAAATCTGTAAATCGAATCAATTGAGTGAGATCAACATCGAATCAACCCATTGAGTGAGAAGTGAAAATTTAAAACAGTAATTAGAATTGCAAACAATCTAGACCAAATTTCATGAAATAATTTATAATTGTGAAAGTATAATTGCATAAATTAGTCACTAATAATCAAATTAACATAATTTGTCAAGAATGATCAAAGACGTTTGTCTGTAAACTCATCATATCAAATACTAATCTTCTATAATTTGCTATAGATCCTATCATAAATTGTGTCATGGAACCAATTCTCTCAAAGTGTTGTTGACGTATCAACGGGCAATGAGCTCTTTGGAAATTACAAAGTAAATTACCTTGGAGATCTGTAGATAAAGATGACCGAGTGGAGAAGAAGTTAATCAGGTCAGTAATGGCTATATTAGCTTACTAAATCATAACCAGAGTCGGTACTTGGACAATATCATAATACTCTGAATGTTTCGCACTCTATGGGAGGTTGTGATCTTCAAGTGTAGACTTGACGATGTCAATATCATCAATATTGTCATTGCCAGTAACATCGAGAGCATCTATCTCAATTAAATTTTCAGCAACTTCTTCAATACTTGCGTCATCAAGACCAAGAGAACCTGAGAAAAATCATCGAGTCAAAATTTTTGCAAAATTTCCACTAAATCATCTATCGCTTGATTTGAGCTTGTAACAAATTTATCAATATGTTGATTAGAATTCACCTGAGAAATGACAGGGAGACAATTGGCTTTCACAAAGCATCTTCTAATGATATTCTCCTCGAAACTATCTGATGCCGACTTGATCCAACCAAAAACATTGTGTAAATGTGTATGATCGTTAATTGGAAATTGAGAATGAGGTGCACGTTCAGTCGCTTGCCTGAGATCATACTCAGACATCAGGTGGTTCAATTGAGCATGACAAAAGTGAGCTTTGAAAGACCAAATGATTTCTTGATCAAGAGGTTGACATTCGCTTGTAGCATTCGGTGGAAAAATAATAATGCACAAGATCTGAAATTGGAAAAAAGTTTTCTATGAACCTGATGGATCCAAAATCTTCAACGCGCAAACATAAGATGAACAATTATCTTGTAGTATATTGAACACAACGTTTCAATTTTTGGCAATCTTGTTGTACTTGTGCAAAAGTCTCATATAAGATGATGTATCCTGCCAAGCTTTAGGTTGATGATTATAAATAATTCCAAAAGCCTTGCTAATATCTGGAATGTGCTTCAAAGCCCAAGAATGAGCACTCTTTGTGATAATTGAGTGGTAAATGTCTCACCTGAAGCGCTTACTCCGAGCGTAACTGTGATTCTACCTTTGTCTCGCTTGACACCCCGACCATCTGAATTGGCTATCCAATACGACTGTGATGATGTAGTGCGATGCTAAAAGGCCGATTCATCAATGTTGAAAATACATCTGAATGAAACATCGATCAACGCTTCACTAATTTCATGTAAACGTTTTTCAACCTGGATGAAATTGAAGCTATTATGCTCTCCGCACTTCTTCACATTAGATGTTCAAACACGTTTCAGATATTTCTCCAGCCATCCATTTGAGTCAACAAATGTCTGAAGATGAATAATATCAGATGATTTCAAACAGTCTTGAAAGTCATTCAGAATCTTGTCTCGAAAAAATAAAGACTTGTTTTTTAGCACCTCTCCAGTCACTTTCAGCGAGGGCGCATCGACCTCAAAGCACATATGCCATTGATGCATCATGTCTGTAAGAATCTGCACTCGAGTTGATCAAAAAATCATTTTAACCCCATCTCTGTTTGATTCCAATGTCACCTGCTTGATAACTTCTCTTTGCTTCCAAATTTTTGAAACAGTTGGACGTGCTATAAAAAATGCTACTAGTGCTTCATCATGAGTGGCTCTTGGTTTACTGAGAAAATTGAGCACCTCCAATTTTGTATTGACATCCAAACGCTTATGCTTCGACATTGCAAAATCCTCGTGAACCTTTGAAATGAGAAAAAAACGCGCCAAACAATGAACTTGGAGAAGTTTGTAGCACATGTAGATCATTTTAACGTCGAACACGTGTAACTCTACAGTTCAGACCCTGAACCTACAAAACCTACTCTAAGTGACACCTCCGAGTAGTAACCCTTAACAGTAGTACTGGTATGTGTCACTATTGGGAGGTGAAACTCTGCACCTGACTTTTTGTGACAATTATTTGAAGAAAACTGTCAAATTTTACAATGATAGGTTTTTGAAGAAACCAGTTGAATTTACTGTAACCGGTTGACTACCAGATGCAGATTGCTGCTCCGTTGGCTTGCTTTTGCCTTGTGTTTTTTGGGATCTGGTTTAGACTCAAACACTATCACAAAAAATGCAATCGCTATGATATTTAACAAATTAAAGAAGTTTAAGCCGAGAATCACTAGTGACGAAACACGTTGAGAAACCAACCTAACACACGAGACACTAAATAACGTGGTTCATCCTTTGGAAGTGGTTCCGGCCATGACGGGAACATGCGCGAGTACCATTTTAGCTATATTTAGCCAAGATTTGAGGTTTTTTTTTCTATTAATTAGAGTTAATCTCAACAGATGTTCATATTTATAGATTAGTTTATAATTAATTCACATCAAATTCACTATTGAATCAAAAATTAATAATCATATTCGGATGTTTTTTTTGAATCTCAAACTAACATGTAATCACTGTTTACTGAAATAAATTTTTTCATTTTTTCAAAATTTCTATAAAACATCACGAAGATAACGAACTACATACCAGTGTTTATTCTTGCTTCATGTCAATGTTTATACTTGCATCATGTGGCTGTATATAAGATATCTAAATGAATGTGGAGAAAAATACATCAGCAGATATTAAAAGGAGATGGAGTAATAAATTTAACTGGCAGTTGATGTAGATTTCAGAATAACACCGTGAACTTGAGGATAAGAAATGTAGAACAAAGAATAATAGTTCTCATGGTAGAATCTACTCATCACATCAATAATAATCGCATGTTTGATATTATACCTTTATAAAAAGTTGCATACGGTTTACCTTACTGTTGTTGTGTACCTCCCAAACACCACCTTGATTTAAAATTTTAGACCATGGAGTCTAAAAAAACCTCAACTCCTTTCAGTATTAGATGGACTTCATTCATGGTGGTGAAATTCGATAATGGAAGAAAAATCTAATTCCACAAATACTTGAGGTAAAGACAAGAGTGTAGAGGTTATGACAGAAGAATATGATTAGAGCTAGATGTCAATGATGTGAGATTCGAAGTGAAAGCAGATCTTTGAAGTGTGAGACAACATCTCAATTTTCGAAATTACACATATATGGAATTAACTATCTCTAGGATACAGTACATCGGATACAGCCTCTTCAAAGGTTTATTCGGAGTGTCCTCGGTTGAAGACTATACAAATGCTTGGTGTCTCACGAATGATTATATCTGTCTCAGTCGAGCATATGTTAACAGGTATATTTTTAACCCAAGTCTTCGATGGTATAAGGAGGTTTAACTTTCACTAAATTAGTAACAAAATCTCAGTCATGGTCAGCCAAGCGGCATATCTTCCTTGACTGTCTCTCTGGGCAATTACTTTTAAAAGATAAAATCCGCGGTATAACACAATGCGAAGTACCTATCATCTTTTGCGTATCTTTGATGCAGTGAGAACGATAGTTTAAATCGGATAATTCAAGAGAAATATATAATCTTATTATATGAAGTTCCAAATACATATACATCCAAGATGAAATGATGTATATTACGTTGTGCCTCTCTCAGAAAGAAGTGTCCAGAGTCATCTCGGTGTCATTGGTGTTCAACGGGTCAGTTCCCACAAAATACAAGTCTCTGTTCAACTCTTCTAGTTTTTGCTTGCAGGCATCCTGATAGAATCTACAAATCCCATGTGAGGTGCACAATCCCTTCTTATACGGAATCTAGTGGAAGACGATACAAGGAGTAAGAGCGATTTCGCCATGCTTATAATGAACATGATATGGTGGTCAAGTACGACCAACTCTATCTTCATGGAAATACCTTCATTCGCGTACTTCATCTGAAGTAATCAGTTACATGTTTCACATCAAATGGTTAAAAATTGATCACAATGAATCTACTTCCTCACAAAAATCAGGATCGAACAGGATTCGAAACCGAAATCACACATCTGGAACGGTCTCCGCTCTTCCGCATGCGCTGAACGACCTCACCTCAGCTCTGAAGGCAAAACCCTCCAATCTACTCCGTACCTCGTACCCACAACTACTTCACCTATAGCGTAACTACTCCGAGAATGAAAAAAAATTAGTGTGATATACAACAATTTCAGGTCTGAAATTAAATAGAAGACATCATGGCTCCAAGTCCAAAAAAAATTAGAAGATAACCGTCCAAACATAAATAGAAGATTTCATCTATTTATGTTTGGACTTGGAGCCATGATGCTTCTTGTTGGCTCCGCGCTTGACGAGCGAGGGCTTGGCCGACGCCCCGGCACCTTTGCGCTTCGAGCCGGCCTTGAAAACGCTGGACATGCCGTCGCGGGCCGCAGTTCGCTTGGCCTGCCGGCGGTTCAGCATTTTGGGATCCAGCGGCCAATACGCGTAGGGATCGAGCTTGCCTTCCTTCTTGACATCGCCTCCGCCTTTGCCCTTGTGGTTCACGTACTCGTCGCCCGTGTAGGCCCAGCTGCTGCCGCTCTTCTTCGCTCTCTTGCGCCCGGCCTCTTGCGCCGCGCCGCCCTTGACGGGGCGTCCGTGCTTGGTGGCGCCCCCAGCGCTCCTGCCGCCGCGGCTCCTGGTGTCGTCGCCGTCACCGTCACCGTCGTCGTCGTGGTCCCTGGAGTGCTTCCGCTTCTTGTCGCCGTTCTCATCGACGATCAGGCGCCCGTCCGCCGCGAACTCCGGCTCGTCGTCGTCGTCGTCGCCTTTCCGTTTGCGCTTGACGGAGGACAGAACTTCTCGCGTCCTCTGTACGTCCAGTAGATCCAGCGGTTCTTCACCCGTGTCCATGAAGTCTTCCGGCAGCCTCTTACTGGACTTCCGCAGCTTCTTCGACCTGTCACGCCACCAGCAGCTCACGCTCAGTTCAGCTCAAGTTTCGACTCACGAGACCGAGAATCTGCAATCGGCAGGAAGTGCAATTGTGATGCGATCGTGGTTCTTACTTGCTCGTGTTCGATGTTCTGGCCATGGAGGCTGATTTCGTCGTGGTTGGAGCTTGGGTACTTCCCAACTCGTCCTCACTGTCGTCGTCTTCCTCGTCCGAAAACACGTCCGTATGATTCCATGCGCTACGCCTGCAAAAAAGGCGGAGGAAGAGGAATGAAGCAGAATTACGGAATACCATGGCCAGCGAGGATTCACCGAGAACACTCACTGGGTAATCATCCTCCTGGACTTGGCCTCAGCGAGTATTGACTCCCTTATATTACCAAATTATTTGAAAAGTCGAAATAATGAAATTAACCGATCACAAATTTTCACAAGATTCAATAAGGCGTGTTGTTTTCACAAGCCTCGCGCCCGGGTTCACGTGATATGAATGGATGAACCAGTTTCGTGGACCAAATTGGCGGGCCCTCTCTGGGTGGTCGGTCGACATCCCAAAGGTCAATTAGAAGGTGAGAAATGGGAACGTAGTGAGTTTCGCTGGCTAATCATTGGGCAAGGACGGGTATACTTCAATTCGAGGCATGAAGCCATACCAAACATTTCAAAAGAACCCTCATCTATTCACCCACCTGGCTGTTGTCGCACGAGACTTCGAGGACTTCGCATCATCGTCATCCTCCGTTGAAACTCTTTTTTTCTTTTCGGCTTGTTCCTTCTTCTGCTCAAAAAACAAACCGCGAGTGATTATGCTTATGCTCGAGGTTGAACACAGTAAGCGCAGAGAGCAAGTAAGGTGAAAAATTCTCAGGGGGTTATAGAAATTCTCAAGGGAAGAGTATTGCATTCGGTCTTACTTTGCGTATGCTAGTCAAAAGCTTCATGTGCTCTGCTGGCATAACCTCCGCAACAGAGGTCATTCCGCATCTCCTGACAATTCTCTCGATAATTTCTCGAACCTGAGAAAAAATCAATCAGCGTACTTATATTATCCACCGAAAATTGCCCTCATTATAGGTCTCAATGTTGCGTCTCACCGTTTATGTATTTGGAAAGGTTGGAGAGGAAACCAACGCAAGCTTAAGCACGTAAAGTACGAGTCAGTGTATATCAAATCCTGAAAAACTGAGAGAGTGTCAAACCAGCCTCTAAATCAGGTCATATCAGGCAACAGTCACATACCTTGGCTTTGAAGCGATTTTTCGAGTCATCTGACCAAAGCATTAACCCCCGAACCATGCTCGGTAAATGTGTCTCCAACTCCGCTGCTGGTAGACGAGCAATCACTACTTTCACCAGACCTAGCACAGACTGCAGTGTAGCAGTTCAGTCACAATCGAGTTAACTTAGTACAAACTGCAATCATTACAACAAGATTTTGCACGACTGGTCTAAGTATGTTTTCTAGCATTAGTGCGTAAAATTTCTTATTGGACGTCTAGTGAGGCTACTGGAAAATGCAACTGATGATGAAGTTGAAGAAAGTGCAAGAAACAAATAGAAGCCTATAGGTCGAAGGTTAGCTGGCCTACCTTAATAATTTCGCGATTTTTGCTTCTGAGCAGAAGTAAAGCTGTAGGCAAGAGGTGGGGGATTGTGTGACAAAGATCACTCGAAAACTCATATATCAAACGAGCAAGAGATGCCACTGCTGCACTGATCATGTGAGGTGTGGTTCCTGCCAAGCAGGCCAAAATCTGATCCACATCACAACTGATTGGTCAGTAGTACATCATATTCAGCGCCCTTTCACAAACTTCACAAGGTGGACAACCTTGTCGGAGAAAAATACATGAAAACTCAAATTACTTGTCCAAAACAGTCCATACCATGTTAAAAAAGCGCATCAAATTGGTCCGGTCACTATCAAGGTCGTCCATCGCGTGACCGATTTTAATTAACAAGTCATAGGCTCCATTCCTGGATTTCTTGTTGGCCTGAGGCAAACATCGATAAAGCAACATCGTTGATAACAGAGCTGACTGATCTGCTCAATGCAATATTAATTACATGAATATGGGCAAGGTCCATTGACCAATTTACCACGTTTGCATGGTTTTCTAGTATAAAAATGAGTGTCAGGAACTCAAGGCATGGGAGGCAAAATGGAATTAAAAACAAGATATTCCAATCCAAGTACTCCGAGAAAATAAATCGCAAGTCTACAACACTAAAATAAGCTTGAAGGTTACCTCTTTCGTTGCAAGAATGATCTCACTGATCAGGGTAGCAATTATTTGGTCCTTCTTTTGGTCACCAAACTGAGACAAAACAGAGATGATGTAAGTGGAAATCGAACTTGAAAAACGTCCCCAACTTTACGGAGAGTAGAATGTAAACACAATTAGCTCTCGTTATCGAGACAAACTCTTCACTGCTTCCTACAAAGTCGTCATCATACTACGATGCACCACTCATTTGCACGAAGAAGAGACCAAAACTTAAAAGACAACTCCCAAATGAAGACTCAGTACCTTTGTGTAATGTATGATTATGTACTGCACACAATCAAGGCGATGCCGGCGAGCACTAGCGTGGCAAGACTCCAAAGCTAGAACGAGTACCTCGAGCATCTCCTCTGATTTCTTTGCTAGAAAGTCTTCATTTGCCTGCAAAATTGGGTCGGTAAATAGCACCTTAGTTATCAACTGAGGATAACAGTAGGAAGAAACTCAGGCTAAAATTATTCGACATTGTCATCGCCATCCAGTTGTCCAGTTTAAATCACCAACAATCACTCTTGGCTGCCAGGCAAACGCCGATCAGATAATCAAAATTTGTAACGTTGGCAATCGCGATTCTTCCAGTTCCAAAATGATATCCTGTGTGTGAACAGAAGAGGTCAAATCACAGAAACTTGTATCAACTCAGACCGCATACCTTGCAGATGCTTGCAATGATCTTGTAAGCCTTCTTCTGTACAAGACCTTCCTTATCCTGGAATACGAATGAAGGAGATTGCAAAATTTAAGTAGTGAAATTTTACAGCGCTTTGACATAGGTATAGGAAAAATGCCATGAATAAAGCCTGTAGACGAAATATGATTACCTGCAACGCAGGAACGGCTGTTTCGTACAACATGGTCAAAGCCTCTTCATCCAAGCCTTTGATGAGGGATAAAGCCAGATCCATAAAAACGCATCTGTATAAGAGCATAATTAGATAATGTAGATCTACCAAAACTGGGACGAGTGTCAGTGGAAAGCATACTGCACCACAGGACCAACGAATACATAGTTCCAAAAAGCGCAGGAACTTACATTCACGTTTCACATTTACATTGAAGAGGTTAATATTCGTTCGCATTCACACAGATCCAGGTCCATATTGTCGAAAACGATTAAAGAGCAGTCTCACAACATTATTTGCAAAGAGAGAGATCAATCAAAAGTAATGACACGTGATCAACCGCAAGGAGACAGAAGATCGCATGTATGGGAGGTAGAACCGAAGTGGCTCCAACCAGCGTGATCAAACGACCTCAGCTCAAAAATTAGCGGAGGAACTCAGTTTGCACCAATAGGAAGTTGCTGCAAATGACATCCCTAAAGGTACATGCATGCATGTTTGCGCATTGGTAAAATTGCAGACAGACAGATCGCATACCTGCGAGAAGTGGCAGTTTCGTCGACACTTGCAGTATCGACTTGCATAGCATCTTGCTTGTCCTTGGGTTTCACGGCATCTTTGGTTGCTTGTAATAATTTCTTCATAATTGCTATGAAAAAATTCTTGACCGTCTGTTGGTCAGATACTGAAGCGATCGAAGCGATTGTTGCCTGAACATACACCGTTTAAATTCATTCAATACTAACAAAACTTCTTAAAGACTACAACAGTAGGAGGCCGACGACGCTGGACGCTGTAAGGGTTTAGCTATGTAAAGGTCAGAATACCGGGATGAAAATATGCAACTTGAATAGTATTTGTCTGGGTATAATTTAGATATAAGAAGCGACGAATAAAAAGCTCCTACGAAAACTAGTCCAACAACTTAAAGTTCTAATTAGGTCCGTCCAGAGGTCAAAAGAAAGAAGGGACTGATGCGCGCCAAGCGACATCAAAGATGCAGTCATGTGAAAATACAGATATTAATTGGAATGGTAACAGAAGGATCAATTGACAAGAAAAAAATGGTTACCTGCAAATCTCCGCGCTTTTCGGAAGGCTGAGCCAGAAACTGATTGAAAAGTAGAGGCAGAAAATTCCGAGAATAGCCTGCAATCGTCGCAAGACTTGCTGAAGCAGCGTCGGGAGTGTAGCAATCTGCTACACGTGCCCTGGCATTCGACACGCTTGTTGATTCCGACGAATTGAATTCTTCCATCGCCTTCAACTCTTTCTTTCCTTCCAGCTGATCTCCTCGTGCCATTCTATTTTGCAATATGAGGGTCTACATTTCACAAAATAGAGGGTAAAGCCAAAATTATCATTACCGCACCCTGGCTACATGCGCAGAACACGAAAAGAGTCTTCACAAAAGGAAAGGTAGCTGCTCAGCAGTTGCTAAAACTGGTGACTTTTTGTATATTCGGCGAATAGAACTAAATTGACTGAGGTTTTGACAACATATACACCCGCATACCTTCAAGAAAGTTTTAAAAATGACAAGAAATTCCCAAGACAGATTGAATGTACTTTGTATTCCACTATGTTCTTTTCAACTAAAATGTTGAACATAACATAAAGGCATACAAGGACACATTACATTCCTTGGAAACGTGATTCACCTACCCTTCAAGCTAAGCAAAAAAATCCAAACAGGGGATTCACTGTACCTGCAAAGCTGAGCAAATAAGCCCCCTTAATCCTGCTTCTTTGTTCAAAGCGTCTCCCAAGGTCTTGGCAATGCGACCGAAGTCTGTAGCCGTGTCTACTGGATAGTTGCAGACTGAGGGCAATAAGGCCCATATTGACTCAACACAGGCCTCACAGTTCTTTGCGGCGACGGGCTTCCCATCTGCTATTAGCTGCAAAATCCGAATTTCTAGAAGGATGAGACGAGGTCCATTCGAAGACAAGGATGACGAGCGTTACAGTTACAGTAATGGACAGCTTGGTAAAAGTCATACCCGTTTATCTGCGAATCTTACCTTCTGTTCACGGACTCGCAATCGACTCGCGAGAGGAAGCAAATTGTCTGCGAAGAAACCAAGCCGAGCCCCGACTGTATACTGCTTAAGAATTGGCAGAAGCCAAATTCTGGATGTGGCTAGATCAGCATTGTCCATATCCAGAGGTAACAAAGTCAAAAACTGTTCGGGGCCCATAGCAGCTAATGCCGCTCCAAGTGCTTTGTGCAACTGCAGGTTACAACAGACACCACTTAATATTGTGATTCCCCGTGAAGATCCGATTTGTCTGTCTAAACAGGCCAATACTTTCTAGCAGAAATCTCAGAACCAAGTTACTTCACAATTCAAATACAATTGACAAAGATATTACTCCAATTTGGGATAGATGTATAAAGAAGGCTTCATGTTACTCCAAAACCAGTCTGCAGAAACATTACCTGTTTCCTGCAAGTCATATCTTCATCCGGAAGACGTTGCAAATCTCCGAGGGTTTTGACCGTTCCAGGCATAAGCAAATAAGACGCTGGGCCTGGAATGGCAGGTCAAGTTATTGAAAGTTGAACAAGAGCAGCTAAGTCAAAAACTAGACCAAGAGTTACATATGATTTGTAGCTAACAAAATGAACAACAGGTGGATGTTAGTATATGAACACACGAGCTCGTTAAAACCATCCGAGGAACAGGTTTAACGAACTATCCATGTCTGGTCAGATGGTAAAACAAAGGCAGAGCTCCAACCTTGGATTCTAAGATATGCCTAGACTGTAGAGAAGAAAAGGAGAACTCTCCGCAACCATCGAGAAACAGGTGGGAAGGATGAAGGGTGAGGGAAAGCACCTAGAACGTCGAAGAGAGCTGATACAACAGGAAGAGCCATGTCCCAAGCTGTGCTGTATTGGTACCCTAGTAAACTTTCTGCAGTTACACACATCCTCTCCACGGCGGAAGGAGGGCCTCTAAGCTCGCCTGACTGCTGAAGCCGGGTTATCCCTTGATGAACTAAAGACTCATCCACACAAGAAAGAACCAGGTTCCTCATACATTCCGCTGAACCGTAGACAATTTCTTCTTGCTCTGCAGCCAAGAGACCTGAAATTGCACACGGATAACAGTATTGGTGCGGTAGAATGTGGAGGGGAAATTTGAAAAACTGCAGTAAAAACTGTCCGGTTGACTTACGTCAACAGTATCTCCAACACCGTATCTGAAGATATAACAATTATCGAGGCTTTCCACTCACTTATCAATGTAGATATGGTACAAACCTGAAAGGGATGAAAATACAGAAGGAAGCTTGAGAGCACAAGCACTGGGATCCAAAGCGTGGAGACGCTCGAACCCTTTTTGTATAAGTCGAGTGGCCACTGGAACTTCGTCCACATCCTTTTTCCCCGCTGCCGAAAAATAAGCGGCCAACTTTGCAAGGACATCCGCATATTCATTTACTGGGACCTCAGCACTACGAGATGTACACAATTCTTGCATTGTGTCTAAAATACGCCTGGTGAGCAATCTCTGCCTAAGTTGTACAAGATCGGCCAAGACCGGGAGAACTTTCCCAATTGCCTTCCCCGACATGGCGGGCAGTATCAATTTCATTGCACCAAGCATATGCAAAATCTCCACAGCACCGGTAGTTCCAGGAGCCACTTTCACCTTCTCTTCAGTCTTGCCTAAGTTGGGTCCAATTACTGCCTTTAACGTTGTTTCGAATGAGCTCACGACAGCTTCGCTTGCTGGTGCGAAGGATGCGTGACGCTGAAACGCCATAAGCATCTGAGCCACACTTTTGTGGGCACATTTTCTTACCTACGTAGCAAATATGAACTGGCCAGTTAAGAAAGCTCTGAGATCTTTTCTACAAAATTTGGAATCACAAAGCTCAGGGTCGAATGGCAAACACGCTATAACCTCTCAAGATACAACTACGGATGAGAATGAATTGCATAAACGCAAGAAATTCGAATCATATTTTTAATGGCATTGGAGCAATCGAAGCAAATTCTTCCATACAGTGATGAATAGAACAAGGGGCTGAAAATAAGAGATTTACCTTAGGCTTCTGATCAACACAATACTTGAGTACAACATGAAAAGGTTTCGCGAGCGAGACCCAATTCGATAAATCAGAATCTTTCACGACTGTTGTGAGACAATTAAGTCCCGGCTTTACAGTTGCAGCCACGGAGGTGTCCGCATTCAAGACCTGGAGTAGTAGCTGCAATGTTTTGTCGCTCTTGGACCTTAGTACAGCGGGTGGAACCTTGTCGATAACTCTGGCCAGGAAAGTCACGAGGGCGGTAGTAACGGCGAGGTCACGCGGAGTGGTGTTTATCTGTCTCTCCAAAGACGACATTGCGGCAGCAAAGCAAGCTGTGGGAGAGGATTCCAAAGCCTGCTCCTTCAGAATTTCAGCAATAGCCAACGAAATTGCGCAAAGGTGCCGATGCTCTGGTGCCTGCGAGCGGCGAAATTGCCTCAGAATTTCGCCGCAGACATCGTCACCCCCAGCATCGTCCACTCCATCGTGCTCCATGGTTGCCCCTGCTTCTCGGATCCTCTAGCTCTACGAACGAGAATCCACCCGCAGATGTCAATCAAAATCGACTCGCCAAGCATGGGCTGAAGAGCACTCGTGAGTCCACCATTCAAACCTTAAAACCCCACCGATCGAACATCAACCCGAGGTCAAGCCAGCTGCAAATTGCCCGGGTAAAATTGCGCGCACCGAATTACGGACAGCGATTCTTCGTCGTCCCGGGTGCCAGGGGTTTTGGTTCACACTCCGGACTTCGTTCCCAGTATGAACTTAGGGTTTGCGGAATGGAATGCTCCTCTTCTGAACCTTCTCTGAACGCAGACAACGCTCCTCCTCTACATTTAGCGACAAACCCTCTTCCCTTTCTTTAGAGCGCCATCTTTTTCCACGGTCTGGAGGTTTCAGGAAGAGGTGATTGACAGCGTAACTACGACAGACTTAGCAGAGGCCATGTTTCCTCCCCTACGCTGTGATCACCGATCTCAAGAGGTACCACGCCTACCTGTCTCAACTAAATGAGATGTTCCTTGATTCTCTTCTATATTTCACACACAGTGTCTGCTTCCCACAAACGATACTTATATGTAGATCCTCTGCTTGCTTTTCTATTCTTGGATCTTGGACCGAGTCCATCAGTCCTTTCAACTGCATCAATCCACTTTGTAAGCTCCTTTTACCATCAACTTCTGTGATAATCTTCGTGGCGGGAATTCTCTTCAGTTTGCGATGCCCGCTTCGTGGGTGGTGTGATAATTGTTCTTGTCGAAAACGTGCTCGTCCGTCGGCGGGGGCAGGAAAGAATGCGCCGTTCGCTTCGGTTCTTCAAAGTGTAGAATGCGTGTCGCTCGGTTTGCTCCTGGTGTGCGAGGAAGCTTCTTTTGTGCTTGTGTTATGGTTTATTTCAGCTCGCACGATGGAGGGAGAGTTGAATCGAGCGTTAGGTTTCACTCGAGAGCCATCTAAACTTTGTAGGGTTTAAGGTCCAAAATTTTACACCTTCTTGACTTTCGACACCGTGATTTGATGGAAAGTTTTCAACAGTTAAAAGAATAATGACAGAGTCGATCATAATTGTCAGCAGGTGCACGATCGAACTTCTGAAGGTGGCACGCGCTACGAGTTCACTTGCAGCGTCACATCGAAAATATTCCAACTTAAAGCTGTGGAAGCAACAACCATCGGCCAGAATATACTGTCAGCTCAAAGGCTAAAATTACCCTTTGGCAGTGTAATGAGAGCATTTTATACATTCAACCCCGCGAAAGGAGTTCGTTGAAAACAGGTCTGATGGGGCATGCGAGTCGTAATCATAATCCTCATATCCCTGGAACAATCCTCGTAACGAAACGGGAGAGCCATCATGTACTCTTCTGGATGAAGTCAAATCGAGGGAGTGACGTGTCGAGCTCTTCGTGATGCCAAGCTCCTCGATGAAGACCCTTCGAGAAAACATTAATTTCCAAGTTACATGCTCAGTGCCCATTCGAAGGTTTTTAGAATCCGAACTTGAAACCTCCCCCCTGTTTGTTGTCTGCCACAGTGTCCCAGAAAGAGATCTTTTCTTTCAGAAGCTTTTTTGCTTTCTCATCCGCTTCACAGCTCAAATTTTCAATGGTACCTGGGAAGGTGTTCTCATACGTTCTCCTGAATCTGTCGTACAAAGTTTCCCGATCTCTGGTCCCGGATACCAATTCCTTCGAATTGGGCTTGTTCAAAAAATCCAGAACGTTCAGTAAGTTACTCCTGCATCAAGCCAAACAGGAACGTGCGGATGTTATCAAAAGCCTGCCAGCAGATGCTGAGAATATCATCAGGTATGAAGAACTCTGCGTTGCAGGAAAACCAAAGTCTCTTGCTTCGGCTGTGCATGCCACCTGGAAGTCCACTACAACTCCTCTGTAGCTCAATTTCAAAACGGAGAACAACATCTCGTGGGAACATGCTCTTGGGCATTAATGAGAGGGCGAGACCTCATATAAGTTGAGAGTTCTCGTGATCAGTCTGATCAAAGTTAACGGAAGGAGATGAGGGCTTACAAGTGCGACCGTCTGCTCGGACATGTGCGTCTACCCTAAACCCTTTGAGGGCGAGATAAGAGTTGAGGACCAATTCGTTATGAGCAATAAGACGTACACACAATCCACGAGCAATCTGATAAGAATTACCTGCTGACGTAATTTTGTGTGATGGCTATTGATTCTTCGAGGTTGATAACAATATGCCACCATCCATTCGGCACGAACACCACCTCTCCGGCTTTGCATATGCACTCTATAGGCTTCTCCTTACGCCGTCGGGTCTCGTCGTAAAAATTCATAAACCACTCCGTGAGGGACACTGGAGAGGCAACTTCAGCACCATCTGGACTAGGGTAAACTCCAGGGGGCACAACATCCGGTGGATACAAAACCCACTTCTTAGATCCTCTGACAACAGCGTTCCAAGCAGACGTGCTGTTCGGGTCGATATGAAAAGATGAGCCTGATCTCGCTGGACCCAATATCAACCATCGAAAATCCGGTCTCGAGTTTCCCAGGAGAGAGAAAAGATCTTCCCTGAAATATACAGGTATGTCGTAATCCTTGCCGAGTTGGGGGGCTTTCTCCGCAAACTTTGAGTCAAAAATGTATAAAGGCCTCTCCTCCTCCACTAAATCTGAGTAGGAAAAGTAATCCTTCAATTTCATGTTCACAGGTCCACAAGCGAAGGACACTTCTCCCGCGTGCTTCAACAGGTACTCTCGATCCCACTTAGCAAGCGCTGGCCAATGGTCCAAAGCTCCCGTCAGAAGAAGAGGTTTGTTGGGTTCTTCGAATTCCTTGACAAATTCCTCCAGGCTAATGTTAGACCTCCGCTCGATATTGTCCCGACTGAGCCACTCCGTTTTAATTTCTAAGCTGGCACAGAGCCAGCTTTGGAAAATATGGTCGGAATAAAATCCCTTCACCTGCGTAGACACAACATGCCAACCATGAGTAGCTCCTCCACGGGATCTTTAGATCTGCTTGCTCCGTCTTTGTCCGAGAAAAAAAGGAAAACTTTTTGTGGAATTAAGATCAGTGCGGATTTCGACCACGAACAACTGTACTACACCAATTCGGTGGAACCGACGCGGACAAAACTACTGTGAAACTCCTTATATGACGATCCTCATGTCCGTGATTCTTGCTTGCAGAAAGGAAAATTTAACGTCTTATGGCATGTTATACAAAGTGGATAAAAAATTTGCAACCCCAAATAACATCGCATTTTGGAGCCTTTCCTGCGTTGGGGAAGTTATTATTTCGAAAGCCCCATAAACTCTCGAGACAAAATTGGCCGGTGTGACCAACGCGTCCGCCTATGACGATCACCTAATGGCGTGTCCACTTCCAGTTTTGAAAAGTTTCAAAACTTTTCATGAGTCAATGACATTAGCACTCAAAGCTGATAAGGGGTCACTGGACGCAATTTGCATGCAATTGGCCGTGAGACAAGTCGTCGCGCAAGCATAAGAGATAAAGCCTCGGCCTAGACCAACCAGTGCTGAAGAACTTGGAATAATGCGCTGTACACTCCAGACTATACAACACAAAATTGGAAATTTGGAAGTGGTGTCTCTTACTTTCAGTGGAACATGCGTAGGGCCGCTGAATTGGGGATAACGAGTAGTAATGTACGCATTTTTCCACCTTCCCCTGAAGATGAAGTCTCCACGAAATTCGTTCAACACAAGATTTCTCCACAACGAATCCTGATGAACGAACACGTAAAATGATTTACTGACCAGAGCCAGCTTACCCAAGTCTTCTGCAGAGAGAAGACCCAAAACGTCGAGCAAAATCTCATCGGTCAGTAATCTCAGGCTACCCAGGCCAACATCCCTGACGTTATGAGGAGATTCCTGGAAGAGTAGATTTCCTAAAGGCTGCACACCATAGCTGCTGGTTCCTCTCTGGAGTCGAAACTCCGGATCATTGCTAGACTCACGAGCTTCAGATTCCAGTAGACGGCCATTTCCAGCAGTTGCTTTTTTCTTCTTCTTCCGTTTGGATTTCTCAATCCCCCTGCCCGGCGCTCCCGTCATACTGCTCTACAGGGACTTCTCTTCTCACTATCCTCCAGGCCGAAAATGCGAACACGACTGTTTCGCTTGGCTCAGGAATTTGAAATGTCCATGCAGCGGAATCAATCCACAAATTTCGAAGGGCACCACCACAATTCGGCACATTTATCAAGTGCGCTACAATGTCAGGATTCCAGCAAAATTCCAGACGCGTGCTCCATTCCCATGACCGACAGGAATCCAACACATCGACGTACACCTGTTGTATTCGAGTGCCCAGATTACAGGCAAGGCATTCATATCTAGGATCAGAGCATTCTCGTGTCACTGTATCGAGTGTTTCTGCATGAAGACACCAATGGCATCAACTGCGATACAAGGCCTCTAGTTTATAAGAACAGTCTGAGAATAAGGACAGCGCTGTCCTTGTTGGAGGAGCACAATCGCCTGTCAAGAACAAACTCTCTTTATAGAGACTTTCTGAACCCTAACCCTAAGTCACTGACGGAGGGTGGGGGCACAAGGACCGTGGGCATCTGTGCAGCAGCAGAGTTGAGGGGGGCTGATTGCGCACAGCATCGGCAGCTTTCACGGACGTTTTTCAATTTTGCCGTTTCGCCATTGGAGATGGTGAACGCGTTCGTGTGTAGAAAGTATGTCTGAGCCGGGACGTCTGCCGATTTCGCTGCTCGATTGAGAGCGCAACAATGGGTAATAAAAAGGACGCGATGAAGAAGAAAGGAGTCGGGCCACGGGAGGTAGTAGAGCGAGCTAGCGATGGCTTTCCGCAGGAAGTGGTGGCCGACGCTCGATTCTCGAGAATCCACAATGACCCTCGGTTCCAAAGATTACCGAAGAACAAGTCCAAGGTGGCAATTGACTCCCGGTTCGCTCACATGTTTCACGATAAAGCATTTGCTGATAAAGAGTCAGACAAAAGGGGAGGATCGAAGAAGAGCAACAAGCAGGAGGAGCTTTTGCGCAGATATTACAAGTACGACGAGGATGAGGACGAAGCGGAGCTGGCCACCCAAGGTGACGACGTTCCAGTTAGAGATCAATCAGCCAAGCAGAAAGTGAAGAGCAAGGATTCAGGGAAGAAGAAAATTGTGCAGCCAGAGTCGGAGAGCGAGGGACAAGTCGGAGGCGATGCTGGAATTGGAACCCTGTCGGTCGAGCGGATAGGGACGGGCAAGAAAATTGGAAGGAATGGGCAATCCGGAGTTAAAAAGCCATTTGTTAAGCAAGTACAGAAGTGCAAGGACTTAGTGAAGGCGAAGAAGAAGAAGAAAAATGTACAACCGGAGTCGGAGAGTGACGGAGTAGTGGACGAGGAATCAGAAGAAGAGTCCGAGGCTGAATTGCCGCTCAAAGCGAAAGCAGGGAAGGAAGTGGCAACCCTGTTCAACAGTAGCGACGAGTCGGACTCGGAGTCTGACTCAGAGGAGGAAGATGGGTCGGAACGCGACGATGGTGGGTCGATGGATGAAGAAGGATCATCCTCATCCTCTTCTTCGTCCTCGGAAAGCGAAAGCGAAGACGAAGAAGGGACCAAGGACGAAGAGAAAGTCCCCACGACTAATCAGGAAACCAAGAGGCTGGCACTCATGAATATGGATTGGGGCCACATTAGAGCGGTGGATTTGCTCGTAGTGTTGCGCTCGTTTCAGCCGAAGGGAGGGTCGGTTGAGTCCTTGACTATCTACCCTTCAGAGTTTGGTGTGGAACAGATGGCCAAGGAAGCGGTTCAAGGACCGCAAAGCATCTACAGTCGGGACGAGGATGATAGTGAAGACGAAGCCGATCCAGAAAAATTGCGAGAATACGAGAAAGCCAAACTAAGGTATGTGCAGCTCTTTTCGGACATGCGGGCCTGTGGCCCCTGCTTCTCAGATGACAGACAATTCCTATGACTCATGAATAGCTAGCTAGCTACTAGCAGATTCCTGGGAGAAAGCTTGGATTGGCAATGAAAAATTAACTCGTTTCCATCAGAAGGGAAAATTTTGAAGTTCACATCGTTCACACGAAATTCTGGTTCGCAAGATGCACTTTGCATACCAAGAGTCCCGGCTTTTCAAATTTTGCCTGTGGCACTCGTTTCTCTGTCGTTCCACGTCGTCGTTCCAGTTTGAGGCTTGAAGAATTGTCATGCGTTTTGCTCGGAGTTCTCTTCGGGAATTTCAGTCCTGCATGACGTGAATACTGTGGGATATTGCGAAGCTGGGAAATTAAACAGGGCTGACGAGGAAATTCTGCAGCTGTACCACCTTCTGACTGGACCACCTTCTGACTCAAGCGCAATCGAATGTGCCTCAGGTACTACTACGCCGTGGCAGTATGCGATTCAGCCGAAACCGCCGCGTGCATCTACAACTCGTGCGACGGTTTGGAGTACGAGAAAACGTCCAACACTCTGGACTTGCGATTCATCCCGGACGACATGCAGTTCGCGCGTGAGCCCAAGGATTCGGCCTCGGACATCCCCGGCGACTACAAGCCCGTGGAGTTCGAGACGAAGGCATTGCAGCACAGCAACGTGAAGCTGACTTGGGACGAGGACGAGCCTCTTCGCGCCAAAGCATTGAGGCGCAAGTTCAATCCCGATCAGCTGAACGAACAGGACTACCGAGACTACGTCGCCTCGTCGAGCTCGGACTCGGAGTCCGAACCAGACGAGGAGCACGACGAATGCAGCGGCGACGACGAGGAGAAGGCCACCGGCGAGGAGAAGCAGAAGCTGCGCGCCAAGTATCTGGCCCTGCTGTCGGACGCCGGCGGGGCAGCTGCGGACGAAAGCAAGGCCGGGGCCAAGAAGGGCGAGAAGGGCAACATCGAGATCAAATTCCACACGGGCCTGGACGAGCTCAGCGAGAAGCTGACGGAGAAGTTCAGAAAGACGAAGAACGACGAGACCGTGTGGGAAGCGTATTTGCGCAAGAAACGCGAGAAGAAGAAGGCGCGAAAGAACAAGTCGCAGGGCGACGAGTCCGATTTCTCGGACGACGACGGCGACGACGGTGGAGTCTCCAGCGACGGCGGAGTTCGAACGCAAGATGATCCTTTCTTCAGTCACGGCGACGCCGACCCTTTCGACGATCCGTTTTTCCAGGGTGACGGCGACGGCGACGGCGATGGCGATGGCGCTCCGCCTCGAGAAGGCAAGAAGGGCAAGAAGAAGGACAAGAAGGATTCGGAGGGCAGCACGAAAATCGGCGCCAAGTTCGCGTCCTCCGTGCAGGAGAAGAAGAAGCTTAAGGAAGAAGCAGCTCTGGAGAAGAAGGAAGAGGAGAAGAGGAAGGCGGAGCTGGAGTTGCTGCTCATGGACGACGATCTGGTGCAAAGTGGACACGCCGCCGTGGCCAAGAGCCAGACGGACGAGAAGAAGGGAAAAAAGAAGAGGAAGGGAGGGAAGGAGAAGGCCGAAGGAGCGAATGAGAAGCTCGCGGCTGCGGCGAATTACGAGGATCCTAGATTCGCCAATTTGTTCACATCGCATCATTATGCGATCGATCCCACGGATCCGCACTTCAAGAAGTCGGCCACGCACTTGAGCACTATCGCCGAGAAGCAGCGGCAGCGGTTGGAATCTGGAGGGGTGAGCAAGAAGGAGCAGGAGAAGGCGGAGCTGGAAAGAAAAGAGGGCGATGGAGGCGGAGGTCGGAAACGCAAGGCCGAGATTTCTTCGCTCGTCCGGTCGCTCAAATCCAAGGTGGAAGCTCGCAAATGAGCAGCTGAGGACCTACGATTTGTCTAGTGCCGAAGGCACGAAATGAATTTTTGACCCCCCTCGTGAGACGCGGGAACTCCTAGAAGAAGCTATGCGAGAAGAGATGGGAGAAGAGACTTTAACAAGCACGCAACTACTGGAGGCGGCTGGCTCACTCTTAGATCGATGAACCATTTCGCCCCATCACCATCGTCAGTCAGGGAACTGGCACTAGTCCATTTGCGCTCTGATTCCTGCTCTCTCGCAAAGCCGGCCAAGATTCTTTGTATTTATTCAGTCTACACGAGACTAGACTAGACCAGCTGGTATCATCATCTCGCAGGAAGGTGATCAATGTTTTACACGTACATCTGTCCGATGGAAGTTGAAACCCAAGGACACAATTTCTTATCATAGGACAAATCCAAGAAAAGCGGTCAAAATCCAATCGAAAGACTCGGACGGGCTCCACGAGCTCCATTCCGGTCGTGTGCCAACACAAGTTTACAGGTCTCCAATGAATCAATGAAGATGAGTATTCGCAGGACGAGAGAGTATGTCGTCCCGTTTTTTACACTGACCTCGTCATCGTCGTATCTGCCATGCCTATGATATCTCCGTTGTAATGGTCCGCATTTCTCGTCAATCCGGTCCAGAATTTGTGACCTGAGCCATCAATCAGTGCCTTGGAACGAGACAAGTCTAGTATTCAAAGGCACCCGAGCGCGATCTTTTAGCGCGCTCGGGGCGAACATTTTCTTGACTGCCCGTCCGCCCGCCCGCCCCTGCCCCTGCCCCTACCCTAACGACCTAGGAACACTCCCGCGAGCAGCGCACTCGAGTGCCGCCGGCTTTCTACTACGCAAGAGGCTCGGGTCAACGAAGGTTTGTGTCGCGTGGTAGCGTCGCTTTTCATTAACTGAACATGGTTTCTACGGACCTGAGGCTCGTACCGTAGTACAGCATGGTAGGGTTGGGGCGGAGTGAGCTCACTGCGTGCGTGGCTCATCATGATTCCCCACTCGACATCTCATCCAACAAACGCCTTCCACTATTCTAACTGGAGGGAGGTTCGATTTCCGTCCACGAGACCATCGTCGTCCTACGAACATCTATAGCCGGCCAGATTCACGAGTGCAACACGAGAGACTCGGAAGGAATAAAAAATTCCACGGGGATCCGAAAGCGGAGCCTATTTCTTCGCGCGGTGGTCCTCGAGCTCGTCGTCCGCGAGCGAACGACGCTCGTCCCTGACACCCAATCTCACCTCCCGGATCCCGGAGCGCTGACCCGCTGTGAAATTTCAGGAGAAAGAATTCATGGAGATCGTTCTTTCGGTGCACTTCATTCTTTCGGTTTCATCCACTCGACGGCCCGTCCTCTCGTAGACATGAGGGAGCGACCTAGAGCAGAGCAGAGAGTTTGATCGCGGCCGAATGGCACGCGGCTACGATGTCGTTCGTATCCGGGCACTCGAGTCTGCGGGCGCAACTTGCAACGCGGTAGTACAGCGTCGCTATCCGAGTGCTCGTCGGGCCCGAATCGATGGGTGATCTGCTTTCCCGCTGCGGATAGCGAATGAGAGGCTCGTAGACGCTGCGACTCATCGGACCTTCGGACTTCTTGGGACTAAGAAAAAGAACGTGGTCACAATCCGGGTTCTCGTTCGTTCGTTCAGGTCGAAGAGAGTGAGTACGATGAAGGTACATCGAAAAATGATCTCGCGAAGTCAGTCTGCAATCCTCGAGGCCTCATTCATGCCTCTCGAGCACTAGCTCGTACGGATTCATGGCGCTCTCGGTCGTTTAAAGCCTCAATTTTAGACTCGCCTCTCGCTGGTTCTCATCCTATCATTCCTATCCATATACACCATTCACCCGAAATGAACGTCTGAACCAGTCTCGATCTCGATTACTCATCTAACACTTCCGAAAAAATATTCAAAGTCCACGAAAATCTCAAACGGCCTGTGCGACTTGGACTGATATCAGGGAAGCCACACCTCACACCTTCTCTCTCTCTCTCTCTCTCTCTCTCTCTCTCTCTCTCTCTCTCTCTCTCTCTCTCTCTCTCTCTCTCTCTCTCTCATATACACACATTTCTGCCGCATTGACTTCGAACCTGGAGACCCGCAGGCTAAACATCAGAACTACCTGTCGAACGAGGAATTTTTTTGTGGAGACAAGGTAGAACAATTGTCATTCTTCGGATAAATGAGACGGCTTTCTAGTCCGCGTCGAATTATGACCCTACTCGAGTCAACCGTTTAAAAGTCATTCTTGAGCAATGTGACCAAAGTGTCTTGGTCTCGAAGGGCTTGAACTGTCGGCACTCCAAAGGCGTGGATGGATTCATTCTCAAAGGAAGAAGACGTCCACGAAGCCGGGACCCGGGTCTGCTCGAGTTGTACCGTCGACCGCATGACAATGAATGAATGAATTTATGTCCGTTCACCATTCATGCCTTGTTCGAAGACAATTTGACCAATTGACATCCGAGGCAGACATCGAGTATCCATGGATTGCTCGAACGAAGCATGTCAACAAAGGGGGGCTGTATCAGTGAGTGGTGTAGAAGAGTCTCTAGTCCTCGTGACATCATCCCTCTTTCGAGCGGGGCTGCGGGAAGGCCTCTGTCCTCGGTAGACCCGAAGACTACGTGCAGGTGTCGAGAGTCTCGACTGGCTCTCAACTCGAGACCCAGATCGATCGGTGATTCGGTGTGTAGGTTTCGATCATTCACATGCTGCTTTGAATCCACAACAGGAAGGTCGAACTGCCGGCTGCATGTGTACTCACTCGATGTGGTTTGAAGGGGAAGTCGTCATGAGAGGCATCGATCTAGACAGCTCCCTTATAATGTTCTTGTCGTCCTCTAGAAGCCATGGAAATTCAATGTGGACGGACCCACAGCGACGGCGGCATGATGATCGATCGGAGTAGCATTTGTCATTAAGGTCGTGTAAGTGGACGCAGCGGCCAAGGTTTGTGCCATAATCTTCTGTCAAATGTCGGGCTCCGAAAGATAATGTGCGAGTCGTGTGATCATGTCCAGCTAGAACCCTACATTTGGGCAGCTCCGCATTGACGACCTGAAGGAGGACGAGAAAACCACAACTACTACCACGACGATGTTCTGCACGGGACGCGGACAGGCTGGTTTAATGGATCCTTCTTGTTCGCTGAGCTTCGTTCTGGAAAAGTGCTGAATCTCGTTGGAAGTTAGAACGGTGTGCTCGCTCCCATGTGCATGCAGAACTCATTATTAAAGTGGCCAAGTCTCTCACTCGCTCCTGAACTCTGCGCGCCGGGCACGTGATTCAATTCCTGTCTGGATGCAAATGGGGATATCATTCATTCATGCTACTGCTTGGTGCACTTAGAATCTGGCTTCGGATACGGTTTTCGTATGTACATGTACCAGAAGTTTCGCAATCCCTTTGATGTTGATGCTCAAAGCTCGCTTATCAGCTTAGAAGCCTTGGCCAGCTCGAGTGAGCTGAATGCTCATGGAAAGGCCCGACTATGGCGGAAGACCATCGAGCTCACCGTTCATCAATAAGACAGGCGAACTTAAACCCTCGGAAACCATTAGTTTGATGGGGCTGCTGGGTGATCTCTGGGGGAAGAGTAGAGTACGATCCTCGCACGGACGACACGAGAAGAGTGCCACGCTGATCGAAGGGTTGATTCATTGACTCCAACAAACGAGCCAGTGAAAGCCAAGCGCGTATCGAGAGCGATTGGTGTCAGCCCCGCCCCGCCCTGCACAGATCGTGACCCTCCATCTTCTCGTCCGAGCAACAAAGTTGGCAACATGCGTGTCGTGGTGATGGGGCGAGTGAGCCCACATTCCCAGGAAAATGGTCCCATCTCGGACCGCCCATAGATCTACCCTTCACCTTCCGAGTTACGACTGCCAGCCAACTCTTCCCGTCTCTCAAAAGCGAGCTCGTGCCCGCCCCCGAGCAGTACGACCCTTCCCAAGGCCAGGCCAGCCCATGATCTTCTGTCAGCGCTCCTGTCCTAAATCCCGCGAGGTCCGTCTCCAAACAAACCAAAATGAAGCAAAGTAGATCAGATCGAATCAGATCGGACGGAGGACGCAGAGGTCGAATGCACTGAGAATCGATTCGGACAATTTGAGGGTCGCAGCTCGAGCCGGGAGCTGTGACTGTCTATTGTCCCGGGGACGCAGGAAGAGACCCGGAAGACGAGGGGACTCAGAGGATCGGGTTACGGATAGAAGCGTCTCTCGGCCACGCTCGGGGCGATGGGCGATGGGCACCGCTCGAAGGAGCACAGGCACTTTTTCCTCGTGCTCCTTCTACGTACGAGGTGGCTACAAGGCTACGCAGTCGATGTTGTGTCGCTGTTCGGTGAGCGATTCTTAATGACCGACAGCAACTTCCTTAATGAGAACCAGGACGAAAGCACTCGAGTGTGAATCATGGGAAGTCACGTGACAGATAAAGGTGGCGGAGGAAGTGAAAGCCAGAGGAAAGCCGGAACGGATTGTCCTCTGGAAATCGCTGCAACGAGATCCGTTCGTGGACGAAAAGCTCTGGACAGCTCGGGGATTTCGACCCGGAGATGCTGCGCTTGCAAGCAAGCTAATCTCCGCTTGAAGTTTCGGTGTGTACGACGGAATCGGAGAGGGGGAAAGTGCCTGTGAGACGATCTCGTCGATCGTCTTTAGATACAGCGTCATTAAAAGCTCAAGCTCGAGCTCGAATGGATGGACCTCGTTTCCTGGCCGGAAACATTAGGCCTGCCCCGGATCTCGTGGATAAGATTCATCGTTGATGCATAATTGAACCGCATTTGCGTGTGTATTTAACGAGGCCCCGGTGCCAGACGAGCCCCTCGGCCGCATTACGTCGTTGCATGGGTGACGTCATCGCGGGACGGGGTCGACGATTTGCATATTTATGCCGAATCGACGGCTCCTGGCCTCGGTCTTCGGGGACGAAGCTCATCGGACGGTTTGGATTTTTCGCTCCCCATGCGCCGTGTGTGCGGGCTGGGCGAGGGCCACAAGGCCTTTCGTATGCCACTCTCGCTTATTCTGAACCTCGTACTCCACTTATCACTTCCAGCTTGTGGCCTACTCGAATGACTCTGGCGAACACGTTAAACCGGATGATTGATACTTATGACGACTGATACACACACACTCAGAGTTGAGCATGAAATGAAATGTTGGGCATGAGGAGTCCGTCCGTTCGAAGCTCAAGCAAGTGTAGGGGAAGCCAAGTGACAGCCAGAAAATAAAATGCTAGCAAAGCATTTTGTCTTCTGGCGAGGGTGAACTGAAGTGATGCGAGAAGGAAGACCCGGGAACTACTTGAGCTTGAGCACGAGCATGAGTCTCCCATGTACAAAGGTCTCCAAATATTTAGTTGCTGGACGTTCCGATTGGCTTCAAATCTAACTTGGCACTTCTTTAGTGAATCGTGTGCATCTCGTTTTCATGTGCCAAATGCTACGTGCTGAGGTCGAGCTGATGAACACTCCTAACCTCAAGAACGGAAACCAGGTGTCCATGATTTTAGAAAACACGGAAAAACGTCGTGACTCCGAAGGTGGCCAAACTCGAGCGATTTATTGAAGCTTTCCCACTCGGGATCTTCAGATCGAGGAAATCGAATTTCGGAAATGGAGTAGGCTGGGGAATTATGTATCAACAAACCTTCTTCTATTCCCCCTCTCTGTCAATTTCTAGTTGTCGGTCGATATCACTTGAGATGGTGAAGAAAGGACTGGGAGGAAGTGGAAGACCGGGCGAAATCGAGCTATCCACGCCATTTGCAAGTGGACGGGTGCAATAAATTAAACTATTTTTTCCCCAAAACTTAAGCGAATAATCTGTGCACGTGTGAATTTCCTGGGGTTTCTTGACCGTTCTGCTTCTCTGCAACGAATAGAGTCAGTCGATCGCAACAGAAAAAACTTAAAGGGTATCTGAAATACGAAGGAAAACTTTCCAACTCTAATGAGAGATGGGTCGGTTGCTCTCTGGGTTGTCATGCTGTCCATACCGATTCAGATCGATATTCAAGGACATGAAGCAGTCAATGATGTCTGCTGTACCTTGAGCAACCGTGGTGAGGGCAACTGACAAGCTGACACGGTGCGGATTCCATCAGGATCCATCTCTCCAGGTGTTCCCTGGCACTTCCTCAATCCATCTGGCTTCATTCCTGGCTCCATCTGAGGCCCGGGCACGGGTCACCGGTTGAGAAGCACTCGGTCCAGGGGTTGAAAGTACTGCCACAGTTGGGAGAGCTTACGTCACATACATAAGCTATTTGGCGGCTAAAGCTCTGGACAAAATGCAGGAGCTCTGCACATTCCGAAGCACGAGAAAAGCTCTACAGGCTTTTGCATGGGGCCTGCGAAGGGAGTGAGCGCCTGCGACGTAGATTTAGGTGTTTTGGAAGAGAGGACTGCATGGGCAGGCTCCTGAGCGAAGCGACCTGTGCCTACCCAAAAACCCTGGACATGCACTTCTGCGATGTTCTAAGCTCAGTCTTCCACTGATGTCAACTCATACTTCCTGCGTCCTGATGTTCGTTAGTCCCCCACCCCTCCCCCAACCAGTCTAACCTCAACTCCTCTTGGCTTTAAGTGCCACGACATCCAAAGCAGCCTTAACCCTCTTGCCATCGTATTCTTGCTCTCCCCGACCACATCCTCAAATCCGACAAAGTCTTGGATATGAGAACAAAGCACAATCGTTCAAATATCTGGAGACGCTTAAACCTGAGCCCGAGTAGAAATCAGAACTGTACTGCAGCAGTAGCCGTGTTGTCGACCCTCATCAGGATGTGCTAATATTGGCGCCAAGTTCTGGAGGGGTCCCCTGGACTGACAATCAGATGGCCGGCCAGTCTTTCCTCCCTCCCATCTACTCACACTAGAACTAGAGTCGCCCTGACTAGAAGAGAGTTCATATCCGTCCCGTTCCGATTGCAATCCGGACCAAATGAGGCGAATACATGAAGAGCAGCCTGGGCTCTTCCCCATGCTGGCGGCTCCCGAGGTGTTTAAGTATCAGTACACACTGAGTCCGACACAAGACATCTTGACCGAGACCGAGACCGAGTCTGAGTCGAGGTCCAGGCTCGCGCCAGGAGCTCTCTGGAATAATCAGCCAGCAGGCCCTGGACGAGGATCCTGCACGGGAGCTGCAGCACCTGTTCAGTGCCTCGCAGCGCTGAGGGACCGGGTGGCCTCATCAGCTGCTGCGCTGAATGGGACTCGCATTCATGCTGGGACGTGACAGAGACGGAGCTTGGACAGTGGATTAAGGCTCCGCAGTGAGAAGCTCATGAGGCGCGCTGCCTTTAAGGCAGCGAGCAGCATCTGCCACGCCACGCCTGGACTGGCCCGGCCCGGCCCCGACAGAGCTCTCGAGCAACGGTAAGAACTCTAGCCCCCGGGGGAATTGCAGCTGCAGGAGGAGGAGGTGGAGAGGTGTGGACGCATTGTGGCAGCGCCAGGGAAACGAGGGAGATCGGTTGATGCGGATTGGAAAAAGTCGAAGCTGCGCACTGTGAGTAATCTCGAGTCACCGAGCTGGAGGAAGCTCTTACACCGCGGACCTTCTTCGGTCTATCGTCGACCCAGCTGCAAAAATCAAAATGCAGACGCAGTGATTTCGACCTGCTCGTTTGGACCTTAGTTCTGGGGTGGGCTCCCACGAGAACAGACGACAAGACTGTTGCGAGCAATCTGGTGTGATACCATCCCCGCTGATTTCGAGCCTGCTCAGAAATTAGGATTTGCCGAACGAATGCCACTTCGTCTGCAGTGGTGAGCTTCCCTTCCATTGTCGACATTGCAGCTGGACGGACGTCGGATCCGTACCCACGGAAGTTTGGTGCCAGTGTCCACACTCGCTCAGTCCTCCCTCTGAGCACTCGCCCTCGACTCTGAAATCCCGTCCACGGGAATACTCTCCATCTGATCAGGAGACGTCTCGACAACTCCTCTACCCCTCGCGTCCGCGGCGGACCTCGACGATGTGGTGAAATTCGTCAACATTACATCGATCTGGACCCATGGACCGCACACCGACGTGGTTCGATGGACATTTCTGTCGCCTGTGGAGCACGCTGCGACTAGACGCACGAATTCATCTTCGGATTCAAGGAATGTGCGGCTCGGGCGACTGACGCGGCGGCAGCTGCTGCAGGCATTCTTTGCGAATCAGCGAGCGGACTCAACTCGGATGCCATGGCCTTGATCTGCGGATCCTGCAGGTCCGGAAGGGCACCCAACATTCTCATGGGGCTGATTCGGGCTCTCGTGGGATTGGTGCTGGTGCTGGTGCTGATGCTGGGCACTGCGGAGGCAACATTCTATCCTCTACCAAAGACCTGGAGCGTGGTGAACGACGAGAGTCTGAATGTGGTGGTGAAGTCGGGCGACTCGATCCGGACGGTGCTTCTGGACAGAGATTACAACAACTTTGCGCTGGCCTTCTTCGACGTCAGTAGGAGCAGCAGCAGCCCGGGCGAGCTCTTCGTGCTGGGGATCGTGACGATGCCATACATCGACCCCGCGCTGTGGAATGTGGTGTGGAGCGCGAACTGGGACAACCCCGTGAGGCGCAACGCGACGGTGGGATTCAAGGAGGATGGCAATCTGGCGCTGTGGAGCGAGACGGGAGCCGAGGTCTGGTCCACGGCAGTGACGGGAGGAGTGCGAGTCGCAGGCCTGGCCATGGAGAAAACCGGCAATCTGATGCTCGTCGACTCGTCCAACCGAAGCAAGTGGACGAGCTTCGACCACCCCAGCGACACAATTCTGCCGGGCCAGCGCCTCGCCGTCGGCGCATCGCTCGCTTCCAAGCCCACTCGAGACGCCGGCTCGCGATTCCAACTCAAGGTCGAGAGTGCAGGCCTGGCGCTGTACGCGACGAGCAGCCAGCAGGCAGCGCCGTACTGGATCTTCTCGCTGAGCTTGCGCCAGGATCTGCGAGGAATTCTGGCCACCTGCGTGCATCCGGCGATGGTGGTCCTGGATTACAAGCAGGGCCTGCTGCTCACATTCGACGAGTCCTCGACGACGCCCGCGTATTTGGTGAATTCCAGCGTCTGCGGCAAGCCGAGGTCTCAGAAGTACAATTCGGGCAAAGTCGTGCTGTCGAATTCGCGCGTCCCGAGCGCCAAGCAGTTCGTCAGGCTTGACGGCGATGGCAACCTGCAGCTCTACGAGTACTCGCAGGACGACGCAGCGTGGCGGGTCGCGGCCAGCGTCATCAACTCCGCCTGCGATCTCCCCGGTCGCTGCGGCAGCTATGGAATCTGCGACGAAGCGGGCGGAGCGACGTGCTCGTGCGGCGCGACCTTCGTCCCGGTCGACCCCGACGACCCGGCTCGGGGCTGCGCGCCCGTGGCCGCTCCCGCTCCCGCTCCGGCAGCGGAGTCGCAGTCGCTGCCACCGGCGTGTTCCGAGTCGGACGAGCACGACGGAGGAGACGACGACGAGCTGCAGCTTAGCAACGTAGACTACTTCGCGACGCGCTTCGTCGCGCCCAATTGCACGTCCTGCAGCGTCGACGAGTGCGGCGACGTGTGCCGGCGCAGCTGCTCGTGCAGCGCGGCGTTTCACCACAACGACACTGGCGCGTGCTTTTTGGTGGACGACGTGCTCGGCCTGCGGGGCGATTGGCGAGCCGGGTACTCGGCGCGGCTCAAGCTCGCGGCGGCGCGGCGGAGCGCGGCGCTGGAGCGGGAGGCGGCGGCGCCAGCCGGAGCGCCCGGGCCGGTGGAGGAGCAGCCCGGCGCGCGCCGGACGGGGACGATCTCGAGGTCGACCGAGCTGGCTATCGGCCTCAGCGCGGGACTTGGTGGCGCGGGGCTCCTGGCGCTCTTCTTCGTCTACACTCTGTACCGGATAGCGGGCAGGCGCAAGAACGTGACCCAAGTGCGCCGGTTGCCGGACGAGGGCGAGGACGGGCTGCTGGACTCACTGCCGGGCCTGCCCCCGCGCTACAGCCTCAAGGAGCTGCAGATGGCGACCATCGGGTTCCACACGAAGCTGGGCACCGGCGGGTTCGGGACGGTGTACGAGGGCGTGCTGGTGGACGGCACGAAGGTGGCGGTCAAGAGGCTGGAGGGCCTGCGACAGGCGCCGAAGGAGTTTCGCGCCGAAGTGGCCGCGCTCGGAAACATCCACCACGCGAACCTGGTGCGCCTGCGGGGCTTCTGCGCCGAGGGCGGGCACCGGCTGCTGGTGTACGAGTTTATGGCCAAGGGGTCGCTGGACAAGTGGCTGTTCGTGCCCAAGGACGCGACCGACGCGACCGACGCCTTCTGTCTGGACTGGAACACGCGGTTCAAGATTGCGCTCGGGACGGCGCGGGGGCTCGCGTATCTGCACGACGAGTGCAGCGTCCGGATCATCCACATGGACGTCAAGCCGCAGAACATTCTTCTGGACGCGGATTTCTTCCCGAAGGTGGCGGATTTCGGGCTGTCGAAGATGCTGGACCACGAGGACAGCGGCCTTCTGAGCGGCATGCGCGGCACTCCGGGCTACCTGGCGCCCGAGCTGCTGCTGCGCTCGCAGGTCTCGGAGAAGAGCGACATTTACAGCTTCGGCATTGTGCTGATCGAGCTGCTGACGGGGCGCAAGAGCATCGACATGTTCATGGAGTTCGACAGCGAGTACTTCCCGTCGTGGGCGATGAATATGGCGCGCGACGGCCGCCTGCGCGACGCTCTGGACAAGCGGATGGGCGACCTGGTGCCCGAGATTCAGCTGCAGAGGGTGATCAGCATCGCCTACTGGTGCGTCCACCGCGACCATCGGCGGCGGCCATCGATGAAAGAAGTGGTGCTCATGCTCGAGAATCTGATCGGCGTTCCTGCCATTCCGGCGGCGGAGCTGGCGGATCTGTCCGCGTTCAAACTTCCGAGACGCCTGAGCTTCAACAACGAGCATCCTCCCCTCCGATTGCAGAGGGCCCACTCCGATCAGGGCGTGCCCAGCACGATGACCAGTCCATGGATTACGTCCGAAGATTTGTCTAGCCCCCGATGAGCATCACTGGTTCGTTGTACATACACTCATTAGTCAACAATTCCAGCTTCGACTCGCTCTCAATAAATAGGTACAGTAGGTACCGTAGCAGCTGATGGGATCGCTGCATATCTCCGTAGGGAGAACACGAGCGCCCCCGGCAAGCTTTTCCTCTGAACACAATTCCTGCAAATTGTCCATTTACAGACATTCCAACCATTCTTTCCAACCATTCTTCCGGTCGAGATCGCACGACCGGAAGCCCCCGCTCTCTCCTTCTTTCGTGTGAAGCTTTTTGTGACCATCTCGGCATCAGGCTGCTCCCAGCACTTCATCGCATGGCACTCATGCTCTGTAGGGAAAGACTGGGGGTTCAAAATAGTTTGAAATTGATTCAAGCTGTTCTGTATGAGCGGAGACGAAGAAAACTCGCAAAATGAATGCTTTTCACTCCCCACGCTCCGAGTTCGTCGAGAAAATTGTTCGATTTGACCCGCTGTGAATGGTGGGTGAACGAACTGGGATAGGTCCTGCCTACGATCTGACCACGGAAAGGTCCGAAGCCCGAACAGAATCGAGATGTGAATAACTGGGCACCAATTTCGGAATAGTCTACACAGAGAGGAAATGGTATCATCAATTATCTGTGCGAAATCAACAGGAATATAAATAAATAGCGTGTTATTTTCTTTTAAATATGGCTGCGTTTCTACCATCCGGACCATAACAGGGCAAACAACAATGTGCGAGCACGCTTAAGACGGCGGAGCAAGTGACATTTCACACATTACAAGTAGCCTTGGGTTTGACGAGACGAATATGTCGTTCGATCCATTGTCCTTCTCTGTCCAAAGGCGTGAATTCGTATTGTGTTATGATCGAATTTACTGCGCCGTGCACATCATTCCCATTCATACACGTCGTCAACGATACGGTCATCACCAAATTATATCTACTCCACCGTCACCCGGATTACTTACTTACCTTTCGGTCTCATCACATCCTCACTCTTGTCTTGTATCCTCAATGTTGGCAATCGCAGCATCCAGCAGATCTAAAACAGACCGAAAAGAGATCGGGGACAACTTTCGGATACAGCGCATTCACTCTTCTATCGAGCGATGATGTGTCGTGCCAGTACGTACTTACACAAAAACCCCAATCGACACGTCTATCAGCGCCAGGTGATTCGAATGAAACTATGACCTCACAGGGTCGTTCGGCAAAGAGACAAGATTTGATCGCAGCTTTTGAACTCAATTGTAACGAAGAGACGACATCATCATTAGACGAAGATTTCATTCACTCCGTTTGCTGCGGCACCAGGGGCGAGAGTGTTACTTGCTCCCATTTCGTTACCGAGAGTAACAATACAATATCCACAAAGGACTATCGTCCTTCTCACTGCACTAATGCCGTAATTGACATTCAGTTGCTAGGCATTCTTCCCAGCTTCCGTATTGAGGCAGGACCATCAACTTGACGTCCGGATCGCTTGACATCGACAAACCCTGACATGATTCTCCATCTAAAGAACATAAGATTTCTTAATTATCCGCTGTACTTGATGAACCTTGACATGGGCTGCCACCTAAAACAGAGCTAAATATCCGCTTCCTTGCCAAGCTTTCGTTACCTGCGTCTTCTTGCCACAAAAATGAAATCCAATCCTGTAAGCGGAAGGATCTCATGACCATATCTTCCGAAGTTGACGCTTCGCAGATATGCCTGTACTTGCCTCTTCAATGTGCTTTCCAGGTGTGGCTGACACCGGTGTGTTTGATACCTTCTTAGATTCCCAGGTGAGGAAAAAATGTACGTTCTCATGTGACTCTCAATTAGAATTAACTGCAGAACAAGATAAACCACCGGGTTCAATGAGCTCACTGCAATTCTTCAACAACCGGATGTGCTCTCTAGGTTACATTACACTTGCTTCTGATTTCAAAGAAAATTCTAACTGAAGGTTTTGAAAAATTACCTCAACCCTCTATTGTGAAGTGTCTACTAACAGTTCCAGTACTTCTCCATTGCAATTCCACCTGAACTTTTCCATTCTTTGAATCCAATAACTGATATTTCTCATTCATACGACGGTTTCTGACCACATCGGAAAGATCAATCTCGACTCGACCCAGTGTTTCCTGCAGTCAAGAGGCATATGATGTTAAACAGAGGTAAATCATGGAAAGGTCGCTTGCAGTGCCTGAGCACATTGGGACCATCGTATTGCGCATCTCATAAACAGATACTTGCATGCTTCCATAATGAGTGCATAAGTAACTTCTTATGTTGATTCTCTGAAATTTGGAACAGGACATCCTAGACCAGTTCGGCAAACGAGAACCAAGGCGGCAATGAAAGTTGTGATAGAGATACCCTGGAGTGGATAAGATTTTTGCTTTTGCTACAAATCTCCAATAGCAAGCGATCATTGAGAGGCGGATCAGCCAGTGTGTACTCAAAATCTTGTTCCCACTTGGGATCTCTGCTCTTCTTAATGGCCTGAAAATAGTCACAAATTCTGTCACTTCCAGATCAAGATAGAAGATTGGCATCGTATTGAAAGCAAAGGATGGAAGTGCATATGATAAAGAAGCTGTAATGGTGGTTTGAAGTCGCAGATCGTTGCAGTGCGCACATGAAGCTCCAGCTGGTTCAAACTCCGGGTATAACGAACCACTTGCCTTAGTCCTCCTTTGCTCTCCTCTGAATGTAACTTTGACGTAAGGGTTGTTGTGGTATTTTCCTTCTAAATCTTCCGCTTGGTGCACAATGACCACGAGCAAACCTCCCCCGGGTGGTACCACAATAGGACCCGTGAGTACAGAAGGAGCAGCAGAAACAATTGGACTATCGTTGCTTTCGCCATCTTCATAATCATCACTTTCATGATGATCTGCACGGTGGTCTTCTTTGAATGGTTTGTAGGTGAGCTCAATGGTAATCTCGCCTCGATTTTTCTTGTTTGCAACATCATTTGGATCCATGTTCTTCATCAACCTCTTAGTGAAAGGATGCAGTTGTTCAGGCACAAGTGTTCTCAAGGGGATGACAAGCACACCTAACTTGTCATGAGTACCAACCTGCGAACAGTGCAACCATCAACTCGGTCGAAAACATTTCCTGCTTGGTGTGTACTCATTTACAACAGCATGTAAAGTCTTAAGCAGAAAATAGGGATGAGAGAAGTGTAAAGAATGCACCTTATCCCAATCATATACAGATATATCGAGCGATTCTGTTTCAGGATCATCTACAACAAGACTAAAGGTCTCGTTCCATTCGGGATTCAGATTGTTCATAATCGTTCGCGTCTTTTGAGTTGAGTTTCCCACTGTCAGCTTCACATATGGATCCGACTTGCCCAGAAAATCTTTATTCTTCAGATCTTTAGCCTTAATTACGCTGACGTACAACATACCCTGTGGCTGCTTCTCACCTCTGCATTTGCATCTCCAAGCGTCCAATGTTATTTCCAGAAGCATAAGTCAAGGCTAGATCTTTGCTACACAAAGGTGTGCTTTCAGAATCAGCATGACCATTCATACAATTCAAACACTGGACACCATACTACTCACATTGAGCTATCGAGGACACCAATGTCATAGGTCTTTGGCCACAAGTACATTCTTGCAACCATCTGCTTGAGATATTCCTGCGAGTGGATCATAAAAAGAAAGAAGTAAAGCTGTTAGACGTTTCAAAACGTTGTGGGCACAGTTTCTACCTTTCGGCAGCCTAGATTTGTTATGATCTTGCTTTCGGTAAGAGAAGACCCTGAAGTTCGTTGGTACTCTTCCTCTTCTTAGTAACAGAAACAAAGAAGGCACCCGAACAAGCTCCCGCAAAGCAAGTTATTCCTCGTCTGAAACTTTCTCGCATATGATATGGAAACTAACCTGAACAAATCGATATAAGCCTGGAATAGCCATCAGATCCGCATTAAACAGTTTCAGTCCGAAGTCCACGTGTGGCTGTGTGAACACAGGACACAATTGTATTAAGTTCCGAACCATCTCAATTTGGAAGCCCTGAATGTAATCCAAAGAGAGATACTGTACACGCTTGTCAGTCGTGAGAAGGCTGAAACATGGAGATGTGATCACGTAGAATTGAAGTGACAGAGGTTCCTTCCCTAACATACCTTCTCCATGAGAGAAACAGAGATGTTGGAGAAGCAAGGAAAGACATCGACCAAAGGCGCCAAGGTGATTCGTGCTGTCAAAAACAGTTGAAAATCTACCAGCTGAACCACAGAGAATTCCATTGAGCAGGTCAGAGTCCAGGGAAATAAGGACAATAAGTACAATTCAGAAAATTTACTCAATCGAGCCTTTTTTTGTGAAAATGTCAAAGAAACATCAGTTTGGTTTTCAGAAACGAACTTGTGCGACAGCTTTCAAACCGTAAGCCTTCACGGCGAGCTTGATGTCCGGGTTTCCAGCCCATTTAACCGAAACCTCAAAAATCATTTCCTTCTCAGTAGTCTCATGTACTTTCACACCTGAAGAAATTGCTGATTTGTTCAGTAAATACTAGAACGAAAAGAACGTAGTAATGACAGACTATGAAACAGTTTCCGTGTGTCTTCATAGAGAAGGTGGCCTTGAGCAGGATCGTCACTTTCCGATGAATCTTGCGTAAAAATGTGATCTACTTCATACACTTACGAACAAGCAGAAAAAACGTATAAAGCTCTTAAAAAACAGAAAAACTGAACAGGACGACTTGTTTTTTGATACAATTGCCAAGATCGCGCTGGATTCGTAAACATACCTACAAACGATGGAGGCAGAGTACCGAGGGTGAGCGATTCAAATTCGACCAAGTCCAGGTTATACTTTGGTTTGTACTCAGTAATGTAAGGTTCTGCTGTAGATCGAATTATCTTGCAAAGAGCCTGTTCAGTTGAGACCAAGATCGTGAACACTTACTTTTACCATTGATGCTCCTCCCGGATGTTGTGCAGAGCAAACACAGTTTATAGCAAAACAAGTTCGACATGAAAAAAAAAGGTTCACGCATTTACAGAAGTCGTATAAGTTGAGTACGGGAAGCTGAGGTCGACCAGGTAACTCACCTTGTTCAAATATGGCCACATTTCTTCCATGAATGTATTCATCCAATCCACCTGTAGTGATGTATAGTTAAAAAAAGCCCCAGAATTTGAGCATATCAGCATTCTTAAGACCATGTACGAGTTTCAGAACTAGTTCACTAAATCAACATGTCATTACTGGAACCACTCAGCCAGACTGCAAAGTGTCTTGTCTTCAAGATAACAGTTAGAATGAGCACATTTTACTTCAATCATTTAGCAAAAGCATTTATCTTCATTGACTCATACTAAGCAATCCAAGGTCTACTATCGTCAGCCTGACCTGCACGACTTAATCATATAACCTTGAAGTTCTTTTCAGAAGTATTTTTGATTCAGAAAATAGACATGCTTTTAACAGTATGATGTAACCAAAACTGACATCCAGGGTGAACTGGCAATCACCTTTTCATGATCAGGATTCTTCACCCATAAGGGAATTTCTGGTAGTAACTCTTCAACCGATTTCTTATCAAGCTCGAACAAAGGCCTTACACGAGGTTCCTGCACACAATATATGATGAGACCGTGCGTAATACACGATCAAATAACGCACAGAAAGAATAAGAAACATTGATCTTTGGTACTTCAATAAGACAAAAATACAAGAATGTCAGGTAATATACGAGAAGTTTTAAAACGTTGCAATGTCGAACCTACAATTATTTTGTTACAAACATTATTAAAAGCAATGCAAGACTAATCATTCGAGGAAGGAAGAAGTATGACATTCAATAGCCTCCCGATCGGCTTTCGTTTCATACGTTCAACAAATGCTGTGTCAACCACAACGATGTTGTCAGTTTGAAATTCAAGTCCATGATTGTGAAACTTACATTCATGGAGTTGAATTTCAAACTGACAAAATCTTTGTCGCTTACACAGCATCAGCCAACATTTTCAAGGCTTGGACTTTACTAGTGGTTTGCGTTTTTTTTTTCACTCTTATTCAGCGAGTTTGAATCTAAGACATATCATCATATTTTAAAGGGAAGCTGCCACAGGATTGGCCTTACTCTTTCATCTTTACTTATGAAACAATGACTTCCACATGACGAGTAAAACAAGTTACTCGTACATTGACAGACTAAATGTTCAACTAGAGCCCACATATACCGACTCAAAGTAACGACAATTATAATGTCGCAGCTTAATCAAACTGCAGTTATAGACATGGTGATACTCTTCCACCTGAATAATTTCCCTAGTCTTATACTTGTTATCTCTAGTGCTCGATATATAATGGTTGACAATATTTTACTACTGCGAGATGTTTCCTTCCAGGTTCGGGGCCTGAAATGGACTCTCCTAAAATCTTGAGCAGACAATACTGATATTGCGATCATACGTATGGTTGGAAAGTTCTTTTTGCAAATGAGTACTAATTTTGAAGACACGAGAAGAGATACAGCAATCTTTCGGAAACCCGCCGAAGCCTCAGAATCAATCGCGATAGATATACCTTGACGTCGTCAGGCTCAAAGTAGATGAACATGATGTATCCAGCAACGAGGCCGAGGATGATCCCAACTCCAAATCCACATATCGTCAACAGAGTGCTTATGATCCCCATGGCTGCTTCTCTCTCTCTCTCTCTCTCTCTCTCTCTCTCTCTCTCTCTCTCTCTCTCTCTCTCTCTCTCTCTCTCTCTCTCTCTCTAGAGAAAATACAAAATACTACAGGGAATAATCTACCACGAGAGGAATCTACATAGCAGCCGGGCTTTCCTGATAGCAAAAATGCTTCAGTGCTTCAGCCTTCTATCGATCAGTTCTAGCACTTTTCGTTCTGTAATCCTTGATTTTGACTACATCACCAGTTCAGGCTGACGAAAACCGACACTCACGTATGCTTTCTGGCCTAGACGGCAGTCAGAAGAAGATGGTAGCACGAGAATGGATGAGCTTATCCTATCTGCGGGCCAGATCAGTACCATGGACTTGGATCTGTACCAGATCCAAGCCAGAATTTCAAGCCCGCGTGAGGAAGATGAAGCGCCTCCGCGGAGAATTCATAGCATCACAGTAGTCATCAATCGATGAAAGAAACATCTCGGCCTCGGATGGAGATTGAGCGTTCCAGATGCGATACCAATTGAGCGCAATTTCGCGACAAAGTTTCGTAGACTGAATGATTTGTTTCGACGCGGACGCAGCGAACGCAGCGAGGATCACCCGACGACGAGTGCCGAGTTGGGAGTTGGGAACGAGGCCAAAAGCCAGAGTCTGGGAGACAAAGACGGGCGAAACAACGAGCATATCTTTTTACCGCAAGACGCCAAAGCCAACGACCGAGTCATGGCATCATCGACGGGCCCCGCAAGGCGCGGCGCGGCGCGGCCAAGAGCTTCTTGATACAGGTCGGGATACATCCAGCAGCGACGCCAATACGTATACGCTTTTAAAATAATTCGTAATTCCAGTCGGCATTGCGACTCCCGACGAATATTGAGCCACTGTGAAGCTGCACAACGCACGATCCCCATTCCCTGCACTGTGCACTCTGGCGTCCGGAGCCTCGTTCCTGCGCGATGCCGTGATGATTATTACACCTACCATGCGGCCCAAACCCCGAAGTCAATACGCAAGACACATGTTTCTTTCTCCATTGCAAACGTCCAGTTTCCCCATAAGTAACTCCCGAATCGTTAGGTCGTGACTGATTTCGAAGCACAGTCCTGGTGTCGGGCCAAATTCCCAAGACCGGATATTTCAAATTCTTCCTCTGGGTTTTCATGCGAGGAAACCCTTTGGTGCTGCCTGCCTCATGCACAACACCTCCACAGAGTCTCTTCCCCTTCCCATGCATTTCACAATGATCCCGTCTGCCATCTCCATCGATCCACTCACACGGAGAACCTCGAGAACTTTAGACTTATATCAACTCACATCCCCGAAGCGTTGTGGAGCTTTCACTTATGAGTACAATCGCTTACATGTGTTGCATGGATCTCGTGGGCGAGATGATATCAAGATGGCAATGCAACTTTGACACATTTGACGATCAGGTTTGCTTCTATCGTGACTCATTGACATCCCCAACGAAATATCAGCCGAACAATTACAAACCTTCGGGATTATCACGAAACGAAGATGGGGAGAGTCGTCGACCGGACATGGATATTGCCATTCTGGATGCATTTGCGCTAAATTACATTTATCGAGCGGAAAAGCTTGTGAGGACGGAGGGAACCGTATCTGTACATCGGCTTGGACGAATGACTTCACAGAAATACCATACGTATATACCATCAGATAACGCATACGGTAGCGTATGCGTTGAGATAAGCCTCCCCCCGATAACGCCTGTGCCTTCCGAATGAAAGGACTTGCATACTTTCCAACTTGTAACGACTTCTCCCATTGGCTTTTATTGATGTCCAATGGCGCTTTATAGATGAGGCCACAGTTGCCCCGACCCTTTTGACCATCATTTACCGTCGACCACAACTGCGACGGTCTTAGCGTGGAAATGCTCCTCGCATCCATGATTGTGCAAATAATGCCGTATTGTAAACTATTACAATCTCGCGTCTTTTCTCCCTTCGTAGACCTTTGGTGCAAAGAATTGGCGACCACAGTGATTCGAGTCCACCAAATTGAATATCTTTAAAAGCTGATAATAATTATCAGCTTCTATATATAGGGTCTGTATAGATAGACACTTCATAGAAATTATCAGATAATTTTTATAAAGTGTGTCTGCGTTTGTGAAAAATAAAAATAAAACAAGATCATTGATTACATTCTCATTTTGATTTTGGTGAATCCTGTTAATATTGCATCACACACGAAAAGCCACCAGGTGTGTATCTCTACCCTGAGATTTGGATGCTTTTAATTCCATGACTTTAAGCTTGGCTCTAACTTCCAGGGGGAGCTCACCTTTTTTCTTCCCTAAAGTGTCGGATGCATTGAATTAGGTGATATTGAGTTTGGCTCTAACTTCCAAACGGAGGTCGGCTTTTCTTTGCGCCCCCGTCACGGCTCTGGAGGCAATCAGTGCACATCGAAGAGACTCTTAGGACGATGGACCGAGCCGAGTGTGCCCCGGGGCAGCTTCCACGTGACCCGTGCCGGGGACGTGTGGATGACCCGGTCTGTTTCTCGCGGCGACAGCCGGGCCTTCTCCTCCAGTCGCCAGGATGTGCAGAGAACAGAGGCCATGCCCCGGCGGATTTTCCTTTCCGGTCACATCTGTCGACTTTTTTTAGGCCACGCTAAAAACAGAGCGTACTGCAGTCTCTCCGATGATTGATCAATGATCATCAATCATCACTGGTCCGAGATTTAAGTACTTATACCTGCGTTCCGATGTCCGCGTCTTTTCTTAGAACGCTACTTTCTTTCCATGGCCAAACTCGGCCCAAGAGAAGCAGAAATGGAGTCAGTCTCCTACTGTCAACCAGAAGTATTTATAGTAGTATCATATATGTTAGAAAATTACAAATGTCAACAGCTTTGGTTGGTTTCTATTGCTTGAAAGAAACATCAACGAATATCGTTCATTTTATTACAGAATATATCAAGCAATGATATGTGGCATTAAATTGACGAATCAATTTTTTCTTGTACTGTTATTCATTTCAACTTTAATATTTCTAAGTGTTCGTTTTATTATTTCTGTGTACTTTTATTTATTGAAGAAAAAACGAAGGCTGGGAAACCAATAAGGTTACATAGAATTCTCAATTTCTAATGTTTCTAAGGAGTCTACAATCGAGGAATCAATCGTAGAAGATGGCAAGATATATAAACTATGAAGGAAAGACCACGAAGATGAGAAAAACTCCCCAGAGAACACAAAGAAGTTGGTAAGGGTTGGTGACATGGAGCATCCGGGTTCGAGTAGCAATTAAAGGGATATTAATGCAGACTGTTTACCGTGTTCGTTATGCTGGTGTCCATGTCCTGCCTCTTGTCACCCTCTAGAGAAGACTTGTGTAAGTGGGACAAACCTTACCTGGTAGTCATTTAGAAGAAGCGCTCACGACATCCAAACCCTTTTGGGAAAAAAAAATTCACTATCAGTAGTAATAGTTCCTATAAGAGATCCCATATTTTTACGTTGATAGGCATTATAACCATGCGCCACAACTGACAATAATCTTCTATTGCAGAAAAAATCCTCACTATAGCAGTTCACAATTTGGTATTCTTCTCTTTGTAAACCGAAGGAATTACAAAACAAAGGAAATAAGGTTTTAGAATATTATATAATTGCAACCAGCAGCATGTTATAAAATTAAATTAAATTAAATCGCTTCACGCGCATGTTTAAAGAATTTATAACTAGTACGGCTTTGAGGATGCATCGTCAATCTCAACTCTTCACTCTAACCATGGGTGCAATAACACAATGATATTTCGATCATGATTCATAGAGGATGTAAAACACTTTGACTCTCACATTACATATTGATTATGTCATGCATTAATCTCATCCAAGTGAAAGTTTCATATAACAGAGTTCTCTCTTTTATTGCTTTTATTACTACATACTGAGATTTTGTGATGAACTAAGTTTGACATTTCAATAATATAGATGTTTAACTTATTTAAATTCTTATACATCAAGATTTAGTTCATAATGAACATCTATATCATCAAGGAATGATTTACAATGAACAATTTTGCATCAAGCACAAAATCAAAATCCAACATACTGTTGAAATGTTTACAAATCCACTTCACAATTTCTCAATATATATTTTTTTAGATTTTCATTTAAATGTTACACTTGATCACAAAAATATCAAATCTAATTTGAATTCCAAACAATGTAATTTTTTGTCTTAATGTAACTTCTATATCAAAGATTTCTTCACATCATCTGTTATAAAATTTAAGAGAGGAGCTCAAAAGTTCACAAAAGTACATATTGTGAACTGTTGCTTGGTTTAATACATAGGTAAACTCACAATGTCCAGCAAAAGTAGTAATTTAAGTAGACTTTTGCTTGGCAATTAGTGGATGAGTATGTTTCTTGTGAAAATTTTTAAACCCTAAGCTTTCTAAGCAGTATTTAAGGTTCTCTTCAGGTTGGATCATCACCTTCAAGAGTACCTTGTTTGTATAGGAAGTATCAACTTGTGTTAATTCTGTGTAGAATGATTTTGTGTAGAAGGCTTGAGTCTTCATGGGTAATACTAAGTATTGATGATTGAAAATTAAGCATTTTGTCTTTCAAACAAACCTACATTTTAATTTTGTAACCGAGAATGCTTGGAAAAAGTTTTGTTATCGATTGGATTACATCGCTAGAAGTGAGTTAGGTGTAACAATAAACAATTGTAGTTCAAAACAAAGTTTGAGTTTCTAACTATTGTGAGTCAGTGATGTCTTTTTGGCGTCTCAAAATCTCAGCTTTCTCGTCTTGTTGAACATTGATCACCAATCCTATCTTCCGTTTGCATAGCAGAGAGGCGACTACTGGGTCAAAAATTGCTTGCATTTGCAACTGAGGTAACTCTTATCTTTTAACATATGCGCAATATAGTAGGTCACACACTAGATACCAAATTTGCTCGAGCTCATGATGCATTGGGCTGATCATGGAACAATTTCGAGTAGTAGATTGTGCTATCGTTGAGAAGTACCACGAAAATAGAAGAATTGCATACAAGATCTTTGAAAATGCAAGAAATGTTTTTTTAATTGTGCGTGAAGGTGATTCCTATGCTATAGTAGCAAATAAGAAGTCAAACGCAAGATATGATGTAGAGTAGTGTTATAGGCAGTCCAAAGTATTGTCAGTTTAAGAATTAAGATCCACTTTTGTGAGCAAAAGAAACTAAAGAAGATTTTACTTTCTTCCGGCCAAGGGCGGAAAACAATCGCAGAGAATTAGTTTGCTTATCTTAAACTTGATGTTTTGATTATTGCTTCTTTGAACCTACAATGGAAAATTTGTAGTGATTGAAGTAGCAAGCATGACGTTTTGCCATGATTGTGCTTAATTCATTCAATTTATACGCTTACGAGTGTTGTCATGTTGTCAGTTCAATGGTTGAGATCTTGTAAGCTCACGTACATTTATTGTGCTCTTGAACCTTTGGCAATGTAGGTAGTCTTTTCAAATTCAAACAAGTTTTTTCATTTTTCTCCTTTGGCTTTGCTAATCACGAAGACGTGCTTGGCGTTGGAATGATCTTTCTCAAATGACTTCTTGAACTCATCAAGAAACAT